ATCACGGGAGGGTGTTGTCCGTAGGATATCAGACCGTGGGTATGATTCATACATACGACACATACATACGATACGTATCTACGATTCATACACCACACCATACATATATGATTCACTTGATCCCCTAGGATTCATATGATCGACATGACTCATTCCATTCACTTGCGCGAGTGACTCGACTCATTCGATTCACACCTCACTCGATCCCCACAGCAATCCATTCTAGATTTCATAGTTCGTCGATCCTCGATAAGAGCATCGACTCACTTTTCTACTAGCACACACTTTACATCTCTTTTAGGACAGTCACTCCCACAACTTTCAATCATTTGCAAATGATGTAGAGGAAACTATGATGGCATTGTTATCATGATTATTTTCCTCACCACCACTGGATAGTCTACCCCCTGACGAGATTCTATAAATTTAGTGAAGCTGCGTTACAGAAACAATAGTTTGGTTATTTTATGATCTATTCTACTGATATATAATTGATGGCGGGAGTGAAACCCTTTTCTAGTGCTTAAAGCGCACTGCGCAGTATTTCAAGTTCTATTCCAGTCCAATCGGGGAAAACACTTTCGCTGTCGTGAATCGAAATGAGATCGCCGCCGTATAAATTGTCTACAGTTTGTTGATAGTTATTCAACGGCGGATCGTCAAGCAATGGATTCGAAACAATTACCGACAAGTCCTCGTCATCATAGTTTTCATTGCAAGAGTCAGATCCTTTCGTGCTGCAGTCACTATCCGAAAGAACAAGATTATGAAGCTTCGTAGGAATCACCGACGTGTTAAGATATTGGCAGGGACTAGATGCAGTATTTTCCAATGATTGCATGCTGTATGTCTCGATTCTCGAGTCGTTCTTCCTCATGAAGGAAATAACTTCTGCTCGGGAAGGAGATTTTTGCAACAATTGCCGAACGTGTTTGGATCTGCGACTCGTCTTGTCGTTCGACTTTTGTTGAAAGTTGTCAATCGATTTCTTGTCCAAAAGGTCTCGTCGACCTCTGATGAATAACGGATGCCTGCATTCCCCACGACGTGGGCCCTTGTATGTGCGTTCGAAACCATAGAGTTGGAGCTGTCTTACAAACGATTTGAATCGCGTTTGATTGAATACTTGTTTGAGTAGTCGAACAATCGCTTTTTCGTCTTCTGGGTCTGGGCTGCCATCGACGTGTATCTTGAATGAGTTTCCATCCGGCATCCAGGAAATTAGATGGGCGTATCCGTCGCGTTCTGCACTCTGTAGCATGTCGTAGAGACGTTTCGGAAAAACCGGCGGTCTTTTCTTGCCGGAGGACGAACTTCCAGTGCTTGTATTTCGTATCGGCATGATGTTGTGAATACTTGATTATTTCAGCGTTTTGAAATTGGTATATTTTTATTTTGTGAAACGAATCAAACACGAAAAACGTTTGCTGTGTTGTCAAGATTATCTTTTTTCTCATTTGGTTCCCTTCATTGATTTGCATGAAATTGCATTCACACGGCGGATTACCCTCTAGTTGCAGAATCTGGAAAGCAGTATTGACGTCTTCAATTACTTAAGCTCCTCTGAAATCAATGTTGAAGTTATTAAATCTTCCATTTGTTTTCATTACGCTCCTCCAAAACAAAAAGTGTGTAGGTGGGTGAGATGCTTATCTTCTTTATCAAAGCTCTACAAAGTTGCGGAAAGGTTGACTAATTCAGATTGTCGCTTAAGTAAGTTTACGAGAATAATTATTCATACATTCAATTTAAAAAGATTCTTTTCTCGTAGCTTCAGTACCCAAAATTGTATTTGACAGCAACATATGACTCACAACACTACCATTGCTGACTTGAATTTCGAAATAGAACCCATTCAAGATTCCTTCTCTTCTTTGCAGAACAAGAACGTCTATTAAAAACAATATATGTTAAATACATAGATCGCACCATCGAGTCTCGGTTCTTCTGATTCAAAAAAAGTCGAGTCTCGGTTTTTCTGATTAACGGACGCAAAGTTCTTCTTCATTACTGCTCTTCCAAGATTTTTTTCTATCGAAAAATACGAAGAAATCAGGATTTGTTCTTCGCTAGAGAACTTAAATGAAAAATCACATGACTTATCAGATCGTGAACAAATGAACCTAATCCTTGCTGTTATGAAATATCAGCTACGGTAGGTATCGTACCTGGTACTCGAAAGTAGTACTAGACTGAACATCTCCAAACGTATGAGGGGCAAAAATTTGTGATTGTCAAAAACAGTTTTAACTTTTATTGGGTACGTATGTACGTACGGCCGACAAAACAAAATGTACTCCTGGGTGGAATCGAACCACCGATCTTCTCCGTGTAAAGGAGACGTCATCACCCCTAGACCACAGGAGCTTCATTGCTCAGTCGGTAGTTTAAAATTCAAATTTAATTTATAATGACTACAGCATAGACATTAGAAGTGGCTCTGGTGGTAGTGGAATGATAGGTACTGAACCATCGATCACTCAGCACCGTTTCTGATCCAATGAATGGAGAGGCTAGTCTATTAGCTTCAGAGTCCTTTGTTGTTGGAAGACACAGTGGTTTGAAAGCTATTACTACTAAAATTACTACTCCGTCAACATTAGCATGGTTCCATGATGATTTGACCTTTTACTACAATTACTAGTACTACTACTTGTACTACTACTACTACTAGTACTTTCATGTAAGTAGTATTATTTAAGTGGTGAGCAACATAATTCATTTGTTACCATGGAAATTGAGGTCATCATGCACGGAGAAGCTTCATGATAAGGAACTATTGAAAAAATGTGAATTTCAGTCACATTTCAAATATGGAGTGAAGTCGAGTGGAAGTCCCATACAACTCAGTGCTGAAGGATTGGTGCAGACTGAAGGTAAAAGCAGTCAATCTGCACCCAACCCCAAAAGAGGAAACCATATAGATTCTATCGTTTTGTTTTCGCCGCAATCTACACCATTCCAAGAGCACACGTCTCCTTCCCTGCCATGGGCCCAATGGTTCTGTTGCACAGGAAATGCACTAGACGCTGCCATTACATCGTAGAACATGGTAAGAATATCGTCGTCGGTGAGTTCAACACATCTCGAGCTACCAAGATATATCGTCGTTCGACCGTCGGGACAGCGCTTACACCCATCCGAGTGAGTAGCGTGGCCGGGGTCAGAATAGGTTCCGAGAGGACATATGACTCCACTGCATCCATAAGTTTTCGTGAGACCTCCATTAATATTAGCATTGCTGCACAAGGACTTGGGAATCGGATCGTGAATCATATTTCCTCCTCCGAGACGGAAATCCTTCAGAGTTTCAGAATTCCCAAAGCTTCCGGGAATCGTCCCGTGCAGATGATTGGTTGATACGTCGAACCAAGATAGAGCAGGGAGCCTGCCAAACCCAGAGGATATGGTTCCGGTCAAATGATTTAATTTTATATGAAGAATTTGAAGGGCTACCAATGGAGAAAGGAATAAACCAATACTGTCAAAGTAAGAAAATGACGGAACCGATACCTCAGATCTATAAATCGAAACCTTCTCACCAAACGCTAAAATTGTGAATGTAAGTGATGCACGACATACCTTTGATCGTGGTCAGTGATTCTGGTATCTTTCCCGTCAATTTGTTATTGAAGAGGTCTGAAGACCAAAACACAATCAAGCGATGAGCATTCAGTACCGAATAGGTAGGTCAATAAATTTCTACGAAATTCATCATGCGGATCAGTGTCCACTCCGGCCAAATGATTGCCAGACTTACCGATTCTTTTTAGATTTTTGCATTTTCCGAGAGACTCGGGGATGGTGCCAAGAAGCTGGTTCCCGTACATTTCGAAATTTTCTAGTAAGGACAATTGACCGATCCCTTCCGGAATCGTTCCGTTCACATAAGTCCTCGAGAGAAGGAACTCTTTCAGATTGGTCATTTTTCGGAGGGAAGTGGAAATCGTTCCCGTAAAGGCATTCATGCTGAGATGGAGTTTTTCCAAGCCACTCAGTTCGAAGAGCTCTTCGGGGATAGTGCCATTGAATCTGCAACCTCCAATGTTCAGATATTTTAGCTGCGTCAGGTGACCAATCTCACTTGGCAATCGCCCCGTCATTAATGGGCAGTTGCTCATGTCCAGATACTGAAGCTTCGTCAATGCACCGATTTCGGTGGGCATTGTCCCCCGTAAGAATTGGCGCCGGTTCATTGTAAGAACGGCTAATCGTGTGAGTTTGGAAATCTCGGCCGGGATCCCCTTGCATTCGTGAGCGGGGACCGCCTTGCGGTCTACTGTAGCACAGAGAGACGCATCTGTCAGATCGATTCTGGTCACCTTCCCACCGGCACATACTATACCGTTAAGGTCGCACTTATCTACGGCGGGGTCGGCCCAGCTTTCGTATTGCAAACCCCAATTCTTTCCAACCGTATACGTATAAAGCAGACGGAGAATCTCTCGTTCCGTGAGAACACCATCTCCGTTTAGGTCTCCGTGCACAAACGTCGTCTTGCTTGAGTTTTCCCCGCATCGGAGTCTTCCCAGTGTCTTGGCAGACGAGGGATCGTCTCCTTCACGGGTTGGACACGGGCGACAGCCGGAGTAGAGACTGGCTGCACCGTTTGGATGAAAGGTACCAGGAGGACAGAGAATCGCGTCGCACCCAGACTGTCGAAAGAGAAGACTGGAGCTCATTGCACCTCGCCCGCAGAATATCTTTGGTACGGTTCCAATCAACCTAAGGATACGAAAGAAATGAATAGTACCAAAACATTGTCAGATCGTGGACAGGGAATGAAACACTGACAGACAGAGCATTGATAATCGATTGGTGCTATGAATCCGAAATGCACGGTACCATGCTAGGTTTCGTTGCATTTACTTTCTACCACATTGATCGCTCGCATAGCAGGGCACGCCAAGCCACGCAACGCCACGGGATGGCATCGTATCGGGTACTCACGAGTTGTCGGTAAGATTAAGCTTCAAGTCGGGTTGCATTCGCCTCATTTCAGTGGGAAGATTCCCCGTCAAGTCGTTGCCGTGGAGATCGAGGCTTTGCAGCTTTGTCATTTTTTCAATCGTCGACGGAATGTTTCCCCGTAGGAGGTTCTTTCCTAGCGCGAGTTGTTCGAGTGACGACGAAAGTCCCGCAAGAAATTCGTGCGGGATCGTTCCCTTCAATTCGTTGTGCTCCAGATCAAGGAGTTTGAGGAAAACCAGGTCCGACCAGCTTCCGCCACTCATGGGTCTCGGATCGTGGCCCCTGGCAGAATCGCCGCGTCTACTGATAGTTTCTTCGCTGGGGATCTCTCCCGTCAACCGATTGTGACCCTATTTGTGTTCAATTTGTTTAGCATCGATGGAACAAATGACAATCGAGTTCAAAAGAAGTAAGCAGCACGAAGCAAAAGTCAGAAAAAGCAAAGCATGCATAAACCACTGTGTTCCACCAAGGCAAATACGAAGGTTCTTTTCGATTGGTTCCGACGCCAGTATGTACCACTCAGTAAATAGTTATCCCCGTACAACATTGCAGGGCAAACAATCCTGATCATTTTGGGCAGGACCGCAGCATTTAAATTGCCGTGTTTTGACGTTGTTGCTACTCACCAGGTCGAGGCGCTCGAGGAACGTGAGCTTCCAGATTTCGTTCGGCACCATTCCGGTCATTTTGTTGTGGGAAAGGTTCCACGATGTCAGCCCGGGAAAGGCCTCCATCCATTGCTCGGGGAGGCTCCCCGAAAAGGTGTTGAAGGAAAGATTGAGGTCCCCGAGCTTTTTCCCCATCCCATCCGTTGTCACCTCACCGCCGTCCTTCGCCGCAAGGGTCCGGTGGAGGCACCGGTTCTTGCGGTCGCCTTCCGGCTCTCCCGACGACGATTCGTCGTCCCCGGAGGCACAGGCCTCCGAAGCTGCGACGAGTGCCTTGTTCGTCCCCCGGTCGCGCAGCAGCTGGGCTCGGCCACCTCCCACGTCGTTGGGCAGGACGCCCACGAACCGGTTGTGGGAGAGATCCAGTGCCTCGAGGTCCGTCGCCGTGGCCAAGAGAGCCCGGAAGGGGAATTCCCCCTCGAAGCCGTTGTGGGAGAGATCCAGTGTTTCTAGGCCACCACTACCGACGGTTTCATCCGCGGCGGGGTGCCTCGCCCAGCTGGCCACCATCGGTGCCGGTACCGTTCCCCCCAGCCGGTTGGTTCCGAGGAGGACCCGCTCGACACCGATCCACTTGGACAGCGAGGTGGGTAGGGTGCCCTCCAGCCGGTTGTCCCGGAGGTCGATCGTGACCAGCGACGAAAGGAATCCCAGGGACGACGGAATGGTTCCCCGGATTCGGTTGCCGTGCAGGTCGAGTGTCCGGAGTTTGCTGAGCCGGTAGAGATCGTGGGGAAGCGTCCCCTCCAGGGAGAAGCCGTTGATCTGGAAGCCAACGACCGAGGGGCGTGTGTTGTTGGCCGGGCCGGTACCGGGATCCTCGCCGTCCAACAGGGAGGGATTCTCGCACTCTATCCCCTCCCAGTCGCAGTGGTTCGAGGACCGGTTCATGATTTCCCACCCAACCAGGTCCGTCTGGAAGTCGTCGACGCTGTCCATGTACCGCGATGCCAGGCCGGTCCCGCCGTAAAAGAGGGTGAAGTAGATCTTTTCGACTAGGACGCGCTCCGACCAGACCCCGAACTCCAGCCGATAGTCCAGCTCGTCCTTGACGGCCTTGTCGGAGAGCCACAAAAAGTGCCGTGGGCAGTCGTTGGCCAGCAATCTGCCCCTTTTTTTGTGCGCTCTGTACTCGTACCGAACTCGTATTTCCGTGTCGAAAAAGTTCTCGAGATCGGGATACGAAATGGAGGGGTGGATTCCCAGGCGGATGTCGTAGGTGGCATCGGGATCCTCGTATTCTAGATACCGAGAGGGTGCCCCCGCTTTCCGCTTGCGGGGGGAAGAGACTGCGCTTTCTTTTTTGTGTTTGTCGTTGTCGCTGCGATCGGAATCGGATTGCGAGCTCGACATCCCACCGGTATGGATAGAAGACGATTCCTGATCTCTTCGCAGCTGTTGTTGCTGGCGGTCGTCTTCCGAGACGGGGTATAGAATGGTGTTTCTATTTCCCTGAACTCTCTCAAGGGGCAGAGCAATCATGGCCAAGAGGGCGAATCGGAGAGAAGATGCCACGCCGAAGAGGATCGCTGCCCGAAGCATCCTCTTTTTCCTCGTCGTCGTCGACGAAACCTTTGTTTGCTGTTGTTGTTTCGCTGCAGCGGCAGTAACTGTCGGATGTAGCCTTTCGGATTCGTGGCCAATCATATTGCTGCTTTCAGGTCAGCTCCACAAAATTTTGCTGTTTTCGAGTCAGATCCTGCCTCTGTCTCCCTTGCACCGTTTCCCCGCCCGTCTGCTTCTCACTGATTTTGTGCTGTGTTCAATCGAGTAATCGCTTCCTATCGTATGGTTTTGAAATTTTGAAATTTGAAATGTTTTGTATTATCTCGAATTTTTTTGTGTGTTTTGTTTTACTTGTATTTTCTTTTGCTTGGCTTGGCTTGGCTTGGCTTTTGGCTTCGTTCTCAGTCAGGCTTCGGTGTGATGCCTTGTTGTGAAATCATGAAAAAGAGGAAGTGAAAAATGGCAACATCGACCGCATATATTTTGCTACTACTCGTACCTACTGCCTGGCTACCACCACAACCTCAAGTAGGGTTGTACAAAACGCTTGGAAGCCTTTGATCTTTGATTCATCTCTCCTCTCCACTCGTATCTCTTATCGTATTCGGAGGGTATATGATATATATGATACGTATGTATCTATGGTATGTTATGATTAGTGACGAGGTACCGTACCGTACGGTAACTGTAGGGTACCGTATGAATAGTACGTACCCTACCGTAAGTACGATGTGGATCCGCTGAACACAAGATGCGCACTCCCGTACCATACGTGTGATGTACGAACCGGTACGAAAATATGCGACCATGACATGATATTATTTTTTAGTCAAAATGAATCAAAATGAACGGCGCACGACTCACATCTTTCGTTCTCCCAACACACAAGTCACATGGTGTTGAGCATTAAGTATTTTTTGCCCACGGTACCGGTACGTCTCATTGCGGTACAACAAAAATGCAGTGACGCCGGGTAACTCGTAGCAGTTAGTTCAAAGCGACAACAGCGATAGGTTGCTGTTTTGTTGCGTCGCTTATTACCACTTCCTTCGACTCTTTGGCATCCTTCCCGCGCCTCGATTGATTCATCGATTCTGCAGTAAAGCTCTTCTTGCTCTCTGCAGCAGCACAAGGAAAAGAAAGAGTTCGAGAACGATTGCGAGCACGAGGATCTGATCCGTATCCACGCCTTCGGGCTTCGTGATCCCACAACAGCAAGCGAGCAAGCACCAAGTACCAAGTACCAAGAAGACAATCCATTCGCCCGGTGACAGAGACTCCCCGACAAGGAAAGAACGAGGGGAAGAAACAGACGAAGAGGTTGTTTCTGTTAGACAACAGCATCTATCCCTGATCCAAACGAGAAAAAGACACCGCTACTGCTCCAATCCCAACAACATCTGATACAACAACAGTATCCAATCCAACAATCCCATCCAATTCGTATTCGTACCCCGTGTGCTCGTTTTACAGCATTGCTCGAATCAATCAGCCATCGGTCGACGAATCCATTCACCCACCCACCCATCCATCGATCTATCGATCTGCCAGCCCGCCACTCTGGCCACACCACGGCAAAGAAGCAGCCGGCGTGTCGTTTCGATCGAACCCATACCATGAGCAATCCGTGGAAAGCCTCCACCACCACCGGGAGCAAGCCCCAGCGGCAGCGGCAGCGGCAAGAGCAGCAGCAAGAATTGTTCCGGGAGGAAGAAACGGCGCTCCTTTCCTTTTTTCGCCAGAGCGACTTTGATTTGCTGAAGGAGAAGCCGCCCCCGACCAACCCGGACGCTTGCGCCCATGGGCCGGGACCGGGGGGTCCCCTCGTTGCACCGGTGGGAAGGGCCGAGAACGACGGGAGCCGGAACGGCGGCCCTTGCAGCACCAATCCGTTCGACGACGCCTTTGTGCCCGTCCGTGCGGCGCGGAGGGACGAAAGCACAGCGGGTGCCCGCGTTGGTTCCCGGAGGACCCACCACTCGTTTGGCCACAGCCGCGATCGCGGCAGGAACAGCAGCTATCACAACAGCAGCAACACGCGGAATCCGTTTGGATCCTCCCCGGACGGTCCAACCGACGAATTGTTCCCGCCGCCGATGTTGGTGCCGGTTTCCCCGGCATCGACCGATTCGGTGGCCACGGCAGCCACAGCGGTTCCCACCGGCGAGAGACCAATCCTTCCGGTGGCAACCGCCGTCCCGAACGACTCCACAACCACCAACACCGTGCCCTTTGCGGCCGCGGTCCCGATCGAAAGCGTCCAAACCGTCACCGACGCGGAGGCTTGCGGCGATGCCGATGGCAGCGTTGTCCCCGACAGCAGGAGCAGGAGCAGCAGGAGCAGCAGCAGCAGGAGCAGGAGCAGGAGCAGGAGCAGGAGCAACAGCAACAGCAACAGCAACAACGACGGATGGATCGGGGGTTTCTCCATCGGTGCCGTCCGGGTCGAGGAAGACCGGAGGCCGCCCCCGTGGACCTATTTCCCGGCGGGCACCGGTGCATCTGCGCCCGCGGGCGGAAGCCGTCCGTGGGTTCCGGCATTTGCCGACCCGGTGGTTCGTTCCGGGCGGGGGGGCCTCGCGGAAACGCCGCCGCGTTTCTCCGGGAGCCGGGGGAGGCCCCCCCCCGCGTCGTATTTTCCCGGCGGCCCGGGCACGAACCCGTTCCCCGGCGGCTTTCCCCGCAAGACCCCCGCCCGGGACGGAACGGGCATGGGCCGCGGGGGCTGGAGCCGGTTCTCCGTCGGGACCGCGGCCGCGGCTCGGGAGGCCCACCGGGCGGTCCGGAAAAAGCTCTCGCCGCGGGGGACGCGAGAAGGGGCTTCCGCCGACAAGCCTCGGGGCACGCGCGCCGGGAAGGGACCCCTCGCGTGGTCCTGGAAGGCGATCGGGGAACACCGCCGGAACGGATCGTCCGGACCGGGGTAACCAGCCGGCCGGCGAGTGCACCCGGCACCGGTCCGCTCGAGCTGGGTTGCGCTGCACCGGACGATGAAAGGAACAAAGAAGCCACCGGTCTGGCAAAGCAGCGACGTGGCTGGCTACAGAAGAACGAAACCGGTGCGGAATCGGTTCTGATTTCGATTTCGATTTCGATTCGAATCCTTCCGCACCGAACGCAAAGGAAGATACGGGCCCGTTCTTGTCGATCCGGCACGCCGCAATACCGCGGATTCCGGGGCCGGGCTGTGCCGTGCTTGGGACCACCAAGCTTACGATGTACGGCACAGTAATTTTTTTGTTTGTCGAGACGGAGAATCACTGCACCGCAACTGTGTCCAATAGTTGTGTCGCAAAGGAAGATACGGGCCCGTTCTTGTCGATCCGGCACGCCGCAATACCGCGGATTCCGGKGCCGGGCTGTGCCGTGCTTGGGACCACCAAGCTTACGATGTACGGCACAGTAATTTTTTTGTTTGTCGAGACGGAGAATCACTGCACCGCAACTGTGTCCAATAGTTGTGTCCAATAGTTGTGTCCAATAGTTGTATTCAATAAAATAAATAGTTTGCTATAGGAGGTGGTTTCCGTCGATCAGCCCTTTCCTCCAACAACGGTGTTGTGCTATAGTGTGTGTGTGTGTGTGCGTTTGTGTGTGTGTGTGTGCCATCAGAAATTGGAGGCCTCGGTCCGCTCGGCAAAGAAATCGTCAAAGGGGTCCCTCTCGGCGGTGGCAGCGGGCTTGGCGGCGGGCTTGGTGTCCCCGCCTTCGTCCTCCTCGCCCGTCGTCTTGGCCCCCGCGGCGCCGCTTCGGTGCGTGGTGTTTCCGTGGGCCTCCGCAAAGGCGTCCTCGCTCGAGAGAAAGAGGTCATCGAACTGGTCCGTAATCCCAAGGTCGCCGTTGCCGTCGCCGTCTTCGCCGAGGGATTTCCCGGACGCCCCTCCCGCCGAGGCGGCGGTGGTCGAGGCGGCCGTCTCGGTCATGGCCAGGGTGTCCACGTCCGAGAGGATCTTCTGCAGGCGGTCGTTGGAGGCCAGGACCTCTCCAAAGACTTCCTCGCCGAGGACCCCCGCAAAGACGGGGGAGGTCGTGCACACCGTCACCAGCTCGATCATCCGCGGCCCGCAGGCGTCGAGGTAGCCGACGAGGGCCCGGACCGCCTCGTTGGTCCTCACGCTCGGCCGGGGGGCCGCCGGTTCGGAAGGCTTCAGCAGCATGCCCTCCAGGAGGTCCATCTTTTCGGCCAGGACGGCCAGGTCTCTCGAGATCTTGGCGTCGGCCTCGCTCGTGGTGGTGCCGCCCGAAACGGCGGGGGTTGCCATGGTGCCGGGTGTGTGGTGTGTGTGTGTGTATATATATATAGTTGGCTTGGCTTGGGGTTGGGTGGGGTAGGATTGCTGTTTTGCTGTTTTGCTGTTTTGGATGCTCGATTCGTGCAACAGTCGAATCGAGGCTTCTGGGTTTTCGGGAATGACCTGGCTGTACCAAGTACGAGTACGAGTTGTACCATCACAGGAAAGAACAGTACTGGTACCAGCTACTGGTACCTGGTACCGTATTCGAACCGCTTCCGTTTCAATTTAAAAAATTCTTGTGCCGCCGTACCGTACGGTTCATATCATAGTACTGTACTATGCGTTCATGAATCTTCTACGAACCGGACAAAACTCTGGAGTTCGTCTTCGGTCTTCGGAGCAAGCAGAACCGTACGAAGTACGAGTACGTACTGTACCTACCGTATGTATGTTCGGTAACGCCGTACGGTACAGTACCGTAAACGGCAAAACCACCGTACGGTGGCGAACGACAGACACTCGGATCCTTCTCCAAAGATACTTCTACCGCACGGTATGGAACGGTATCGTACTGTACGTACGGTACGTGTCCCGGATTCATTCGTTTCCTGATTCGGTCATACTGATCCTCCTTTTCCGTCGTTCGGATGCTCCAACGGATAGGATGATACGGATCGAAACACATGATATTCTGTTTTTACCGTTGTATGTGACACAATGATGGCGCGCCCGAGGGCGCCAAGTCCCGGATTCGGCCCCATGGTGGTGCAGGTGGTATCTAGCTCGTGCCTTGGCTGGGTACAAGTACGTATGACGGAGTACGTACTGTACTTCACTGTACTGCTCGTAGTCGCGAGAGCGAGCGAAACCCCCATACCGTACGGTACCGTACGGCACATCGCATCGATGACAACCTTCGTTCTCGTACTGGTACCGATACCTACGGCAAAGTTTCCGGGGCTCGTTCCGGCATCGCATCGGCGTCGGAACGGTGGCATGCGCGAGGCACGGGGAAGAGCCTCTCTCGAACGGAGAACGATCTCGCGCGACTACCTAATGTGGCACGGGGCAAAGATTTTTCCGTCCCATCGGCTGGATCTGGAACACACGAACATCTTGTGCTGGATGGTTTGGGTTGTGATGCGATGCGATAAGATGCGATTGCGATTGCGATTGCGATTGCGATGCGATTGTTTCTCGTTGTGTTCCGTGACCGTCGGCCCTCTCTGTTTCGACCACCGGACGCTACACACACATACGAACTACCGCGCTGTGACACGGCACGGGACAACGTGGGTGCATGCCGGGAATCTTCCTGCTCCCGAAGCATCTTCGTCTTTTTTGGCCCTGCTTTCACTCACATGATCGACATCGAGCGGCAACCATCGGCAAACAAGACCGCCACCGGAAACACGAATAGACAGCATCATCCCCGCCGACGGTACGGTACGAAAACAAAAGGCTTTTCGTGACAAGCCAGCAATCAAGCAAGAAAGCACAGAAACACCGCCACTCGATTCGCGGTTGCGTCGCATCGACTACTGCCTCGGGTTGCACTGCTTTGATTCCCCCCGCCCAAAAACCATCCCACCAACCGCGCAAGCGACGAAACCAATCCCCATGAACGAGAACGAAGACTACTACCAGCACCACCACCACCACCACCATGGCGGGGACAACCTCACGGTCGACGAAATGATCGAGGCGTCCGAGCGGGAAGAGGAGGAAGCACTGAACCACATCCTGGAGCAAACCGTTCGAAGCGACTCCGAGAAAGAGAGGGACGGTTCATCCGCCACCGACACGAGGACCCCCCGGGGACGCCTGCCGCAGAACCACAAGAACGGAAGAGTGCTCTCGTCCATCGGCACGACGAACCTCCGGGAGGGTTCCGAGGCCCAGGACAGCCTGGCGGGGGACGAAACGATTGGCAACATCGTCGAGGGCATTATGGTTTCGCCGGACGAGGAACAACAACAACAACAGCAGCAACAACAACAACAACAACAACAACAACAGCCACACCACCGCCGGGGGGGAAGGTTCGTCACGGACGAGACCTCGGTGGGGAGCATCTCGGAAGACATCGAGTGGATTCTTTCGCAGCATAACGAAGGCCACCGCGACGGAGGGGAGGACGGGAGGAAGGATCGTCACCCATGCGAGGAGGAGGGAAGCCTCACCCTGGTCAGCTCCCTCAGTGGCGGCGACGACTGCGACGACTCGCAGCGCGCCAGGTTTTGGGCGCTGCTGGGGGGGGCCGGGCCCCCGCGGGGGGAGGGGACCCGGGGGGAAAGAGACAAGGACCCCTCCCCGGCCCCGTGGGGGGTGGTGCCCTCCGGGAAGAAGCCTCCCCCCCCCCGATCGGGAACCGCGGCCACGGCAAGGAACTCGGACTCGGGGAGCAGCGGCCACCACCACCGCGGAAGCAAGCCTTGCGGAAAGCACCTCCCCTTCCCCAGAACGCCCTCGCGGAGCCCACCGAGCAGCCGTTCCGAAGTACCACGAAAGGACGATTCTCCCCCGGCCACCCCKTCCACGGTCATCATCCGCACAATGAAACGCCGGGGTCCCTCGGGCTACGACGACTACGACTACGGCTATGGCGACGACGGATACGACGACGACGGATGCGACAGCCGCTTCGAGCTCGAGCTAAGCCCCGGCGGCAGCGATTCCCCAAGGGAGCCCCTTGGTGCCCGCAGCGGCCCGTTCGGCTTTCTCAAGCGCTTTGCCGAGGGCGAGAACGGAACTGTGTGCCGGTGGCTGGCCATCGGCATCGCGGTCCTGGTGGCCGTCCTCCTGTCGCTCCTCGCCGCGGTCTTTGCCGAGCTGGGGAGGCCGGCCCCGGYTCCGCTCGAACCCGCAGGGGTGGCCGGGTCTCCCCCCGGCGGGGGTTCCTACGGRAGCTTCGATCCCCCCCCGGTGGTCCACACCGCGGGTCCCGGTGCTAGTGCTAGTGCTGGTGCCTGGCTGGCCACCTCCGCCCCTCTCGGGGCCGGGGAAGGCGGTTTGACGGAGGAGGCTCTTCCCCTGTTTGCCGAGGACACCGAAACCGGCATTCCCGTCGCTGCTGCCGATGTCGACGATGATGATACTGCTGCTGACGCCGATGCTGATCTTGATGCTGATCTGAATGCCGATCTTAATGCTGATCTTAATGTTGATCTAAATGTTGATCCTAATGTTGATCCTGATGTTGATCCTGATGTTGATCCTGATGTTGATCCTGATGTTGATCCTGATACTGCTGCCGATGCTGCCGCCGATGCTGATGATGATCCTGATGCTGACCCTGATGCTGATCCTGCTGCCGATGCTGATGATGATCCTGATGCTGATCCTGATGCTGCTGATGTTGATGCTGCTGATCCTGATGCTGCTGATCCTGATGCTGCTGATGTTGATGCTGCTGATCCTGATGCTGCTGATCCTGATGCTGCTGATCCTGATGCTGCTGATGTTGATGCTACTGATCAAGATGCTGTTGATGTTGATGTTACTAATATTGATACTGCCGCACAAAATGAAAACCTCGGACTGGCACCGGCAGRGAAAGAGACTCCTTCCCCGCTTGCTCGAGAAACCGCGGCTCCTCTCACGTCAGYGCAAACCGAAGCTCYCAAGGCGGAAGAAGAAACCACTCTTTCGATTTCTCGCGACACCAAAGATCCTTTCACGGAAGCACCGACCAAGGTTCCCGAGGAGGAAGAAGAAGCTGGTTGGGAAACCGCAGCACCGACCGACGAAGAAACAAAATTCCCTTACACGAAAGCGCCAGTCCAGGAAGAAGGCGAAACCGTTCTTCCCCTTTATGACGAAATCAAAGATCCGGTCACGGAACCACCAACCGATAAACTTCCGTGGGCCGAAGAAACAAAAGATCTGTACACGGCAGTGCCAACGGAAGCATCCAAGCAGGAAGCCCATCCCCACGAGATGACCGCGGAAACCCCGGGCAGCATCTTCCCCAGAGACAAAAGACTCATGGAAACCATTGCGACACGGCTGCCGGAGAGCCTGGCGAGGTTGAAAGACAGTGCTTCCCCACAATACCGTGCGCTCGAATGGTTGACCGCACACCAGCCCGATCCCATCGAAATACTCATCAATCCGTCGCGATTGGAACAGAAGTATGCGCTAGCGGTCCTCTACTACGAGACGGGAGGTGATCAATGGGAGAATAACACCGGTTGGTTGACTGGTCACAACGAGTGCGAATGGTTCTCGACATCCCAGTCACCGGATCAATCCGTTTGTGATTCCATGGGGCGAATCACCGAGATCGATCTGAGCTCCAACAACCTCAGGGGTTCCATTCCGCCCGAGATTGTTCTTCTCTCTGACCATCTCAAGAGCATCTCTGTCGATGGCAATTCCCTGTCTGGTGCGATACCWCCGGCGATTGGCAGGGAGATGACCAACCTGGAGCGATTCGACGCCCAGCGGAATGCCCTCACCGGGACGATACCTACCGAACTCGGCGAGCTTGCAAGCCTCACGAGCCTGAAACTCAGCAGCAACAAACTCGTGGGATCGATTCCTTGGCAGCTGAGTGACCTCGTCAACCTAGAAACACTCGACCTGTCCTCGAACCAGCTCACGGGTGGAATTCCTTTTTTGCTGGGTGGCCTGACGGCATTAAGTAAGTTGCATGTTTCTGGCACCTGCCGGTCTCGCGTCTCGTTCTCGGTTTTCCCGATGCGCTCCCCCTGCCCGATCTAACAGGTGTGTTTTCACCTCTCTTGTTTTTTGTTTGTTCGATCCTTCCAACCGGCAGACGAGCTGATCCTCCGGAACACCGGCATATCGGGTGGGATTCCCGTCGAAATCGCGAACCTCTGGTCTCTAAAAACCCTCCGGCTCGAACAGACCGATCTGGAAGGAGAGATGCCGGCTCCGTTTTGCCTCTGGCTGCGGCCGCTCCTGGAATCCGCCGTGGTGGATTGCGAGAAGGTTGCGTGTTCGTGCTGCGACGGATGCTGAGCCGGTCGATCCATGAACGATGCATTCCTGGCATACTAGTGAACCGAGGCAAGGCATTTCGAACAAGTTTGTGATTTTCACAACGGGATTGATTGTTTCGAATCCAGCATGATTTGTATCTATTTTGAACTAAACTATAACGTTATGATACCCTTTTTCAGCGGCGGTTATATTTGTTTTGGCATCTACCTTTAAATCATTTATGAAACATTCTGGATGGGCTGAATTTCGTTAGTATATACATATGGTGCTACGTGTCGTCAGAGCCTTTGTTACCCATACTGGACATAAGTTTGGTAGTGTGGTTCGAAAGTACTATTGTATGGATACAATGTCGGAGATATATTGCCTTTCGTGGCACGAATCGGTACGGGGGAAGGGATCGTATAGGCATGTGCGTTGTAGGCACCGTATTCGGCTTCCGGGTAGATCGTGCAATTCATGTAACCGCTGCTGCTGTTGCCAACAGCACGCAAGCCATAATTCGAGGCGCGCTCCAAGTCGGCTATGTAACGGTGGGCAGCAGCTCTGGTCATGGAGAGAGAGGAATATCTCATGCGGTATTTGTAGTCCCTTTTCTTGCTGGAGGCAGCCGGTTTCATCTCAGTGTATGATTTGGAACGTGGTTGGAGATGGATATTTGGGAGATGACTCACTCTGATTTCCATTCCCGGTTGCATCGAAAACGAAGGCGCCACCGAGGAGGAAGGCAGCTTCGGAAAGACTGCCAAGATAGCGGTATTGTTCCTGGTACGAGGACATCTTGTGGATGAGGGCGACGAAGAGCCGTTTGAAAAGGGACTCGTGGTATGGATCGGAGGCGAAGGCGACCTGTCGTCCCAACGATGGTTTGCGGATGGACGAGGGGGTACAGGGGTGGATTGTGCGCTCAACGCAGAAGCGGCACTCGATAGCAGGTTCAGGGGACTCGGATCGACAGTAGCAGGCGTGTCCATCCCCGGTTGTGAAAAGTCGCCGCAGCAGTTGTAGCCATAGTGGTGTGTGGTGGGAGGGGTTTGCGTTGTGGGTCCGTCGTACATTGCGTCTGATCGTTTTTGCTTCGCTTTCAATTTGTGAGGGTAGTAGTTGGGAAGAATAGCAAGGAGGAAGTAATTTTAGAGGAATTCGGAGCACGGGTGTTATGATTGCTACTATTTTTTGTTTCAATGGGGGAAGACAATACTTGGCTAACGCTCACATAAAAATAGAGAGAGTAATAGTTTTGTTCTTGTTTTCTGCTTGATCGGCATCAAGATAATTATCAGTTTCATGAAAATTCTCGTGAGTTCATTCTTGTATTTGAATCGAAGTGGTATGTTCTGGCGATAAGTAGTCGCATGCCAGATTTTTTCCGCCGCCATTTCACTAATCCTGAAGCGTGTTCATTACTCATTTATTTTGGTCGCGGAGCTTGGTGTCGGTTTTGCTGTTTACAATATCAATAGTATGCACTAAATTGTTTAGTAGACCGATCTAGTCGCGTATGCCTCGGCTGAAGTTTGCACGATATCCAATAAGGGCATTTTAAATGCGCATGTGGTCAATCACAAACAATTGCTAAGCATGGGACTTGACCTGTTGTTYCAATTACTGCATCTGGGGTCGAAAGAAATGTTCTTTGCTGATCTTCCCCCAACCTTAAATCGACACATGTTCTCGATAGTAACGATAAGTACTCGTACTTGTAGTACCCCTCGATGTTTTTCTCATCTCCCGCCGAGAACCTGTGACGCCAGTAGTACCGTACGGTAGGAATCCCTACGCGTTCCTTGGTTACGACGGAGCGGAGAAGAGTCGCACCTCTAGAGGGAATGAATTTGTACCTTAAAATACATGGTAGAAGTACGTAATGTTCATCTCGAAGTCCTACGGTACCGGTACTCGTACAAATGTAACCCGCACGTTACCAGCCGGTGGTACGTACTGTACCGTACGTCCCGTGCTGTATTTTCCAAGCAGAACCATCTTTTCAACTGTACGGTACTAAAGGAACCAGATTCAGAAGACTTGTTGGAATCAAAGCAAAGTCAGAAGGGCGAGAGCAGATATCGCTTGGGGGATAGTGCCAACGAACGAACAAGAAACAACAGAAGAATCGAAGCTGAAKGAAGCCTTTTGAACTCCACAAGAAAGATTCTAGTCAACCCGAACACTGGTTGTCCGAAACAAACATACTGCTTCCGAATACGGTACCATCCCGCACCGACTTYGTATTTCCTGCCGTTCGATGATCGCTCTATTGCATTCAAGAGCACGTACAGTAATGTATTGAATCATACTCAAACCCCAACAAAACKAGAAAGGAAACGAACGATAGAACCACAAACGAGAGAATCTCACCATGTCTGGAAAGAACAATTATAGAACAGATAAAACCCAGTGTCCCGATGAGGACTATGTTGACGATAATATTCGTGATAATACCGTAGATCCCTTTTTGGTCATACCAAATATTGGTAGTAGCAACAGCAATGAGTACGCTAACGGGAACAAGGGCGTCCATGGAATTCCGATGGATGAGCAACAGCATTTAAAGCAGGATCATCAGTACAATACCTCGAACATTGATTATCGCATCACTCAAGCATGGGTTTCTTCCGCACCCGTACCGCTGCTTTCGTCGATAGAAGAGACCAAAATTGATCGGAACAGTATGAATCGCGGGGTACGTGAAGTGGAAAGCTTTGAAGACGAATTCTCATACACCGCCGACGAAGCATACCGACAAGGAAGGCATAGCGATACTAGTAATCACAACAACAAGCAAAACCACCACAACTCGCCGAATCCGTTCACAGAAATGCGCAGGAGCATATTCTCGTCTGCCGCCAACAGTGTTCAACCCAATGCTCAAAAGCACRGGGAAATGGAAGCGAGACTGGGAAAYGATCATGCTCGMAGGGCAGACGATGCTCYRAGAACAAGGGAGGACAGCAACAACCAAGTGGACGATAACGAAGCTCTGTTGGCAACATTGCCGAAAGAGGCGCTCGACAATGAGCGCAGAAAAAGTTGTTCCAGCTCACCRAGCACCCCGCCATCCATGCCAGAAGATTTGATGGATCTGAGCGTCAACGAGAACGATGGCATCGAAAAAAGGGAGATGGTGGCTTTTCATTCCTTTGTGAATGACCATACCAACGAAAAGGATCATCTCGTTCGAAAGACCACCAACACGAACAACGAGAATAGCAAATTCATGTTGGAATTYCCCCCTTTTCTGAACATCACACATGGTGATGGCGGCGGTGATAACGATGGCGACGGCGATGGCGATGAAGGGTATCCAATCTGCAATGGCGATGGCAGTACTTCCCTAAAGGCTTTGGCAAACCCAGAGGACGAAGCCCTAGAGTCACCGTTCTTATGGATGAGCAGCGCGGATCCGTCGACCGCAAGGATACCGGCTGAGATCGTTCTCGACGACGACGAGAGGGGCAAGGTGGACGATGAGTTGCTGACGGGGGACGGGGACGAGAGCAATCAAAACCAACCCATGCACCCCTTGTTCCGTCCGCCTACGCTCTCCGCGTCGGGAAAAGTCCCRCGGCCAAAAGCCCTGAAGAACGCGGACCGGCAGCTCACGCCCCAATCGTGGCAGACCCCACTCTCGTCGCTGAGGCCCAAGACCATCCTCCGCAACATGAGCGGCGGATCGAGGCGGACCGAAAGCAACAACGCTCCGCTCACACCAAGGTCCGGGCGGACGACACCAAAATCCGAAAAGTATTACTATTCGTACGAAACGGATCCTTCGGCTCCGCCCACACCGGTTCCTCCCTTTGTTGTGGTCCACAGCACGGGGTCGGCGGTGGTGAAAGTCACGGCGAAGAGCACCACCACCGTGTCGGCCTCCAAGAAATCCTGCGGAAAGAATCGTTCCTCCAAGAGCAACAGCCCAGAACACCCTTCCGCTTCCAAGAGAAAGCCCGGATGCTGCGGAGGTGCCCAGCGCAGTGCGAAGAACTGGTGCTGGAATTGGGGTCGACCGGTGACGATTGCCCTCGCTTCCGCTGCCGTTGTACTCGCGATCGTAACAGTCGCCAGTAGCTTGGTTGCGAGTCATCGAGAGCAGCAACAGCAGCAGCAGCAGCAGCCCATTCTTGAGACTGTTCTCGAAGCGGACACCAATCGTGAGCACAACGCGTTTCGTGGTCCAACGTCTGCTCCGACGGTCGTCCCCCAAAACGCCGATTCGCCTTCTCCCACCGATTCGAGAGCCACGGGAAACGCTACTAGCACGCTTTCCACAACAACGGACCCACCGGGAACTACGACCCAGAGCGATCTGGTGTTGGACGCACTCGGGGAAGAGGAACGCAATGCCACCGCCAAGCCGATATGGGAGGGAGTGGTGAAGCGGCCCTACGAAGAAACCTCCAATCCAGCAAACCCCAATCCAACAATGCCCCCCCGAACCTTTTCCCCCTCGAGCTCGCAGATGCCGACGCTGGCACCGAGCATGCTCCCCGAGGGCTTTCCGGAACTCGTTCCGACGAACCCCCCGTTTCTCCTTCCCCGAACCACCCCCGAGCCGTCCCCGGGTGGCAGCGACGAGGACCAGGTTTCGGAACCACCCACCCACGGCATCGCCGAGGTCCCGTGGAACAACTACCTGATCGGGTTGCTCTCYGTCGAATCGCCCTCTACCTTTTCCCAGCTGGCCGACGAGAAAAGCCCGCAGTTTCTRGCCCTGCAGTGGGGATCCATCGACGCCTTCCGGAGAGGAGGGGCGAGCGCGTACACCATGGACGGGAGCCTCCAGCGGTACGCCCTCGCCACGCTGTACTTTGCCCTCGGCGGAGGAAGCGGCGGCTGGTCCAGCAGCGATTCGTGGCTGTCGAGTTCGGTGAACGAGTGCGACTGGTTCGGGGTGACCTGCGATTCGTACGGGAGCGGGGCCGTTGTTCTGTCCCTGGACCTGAGCGCGAACGGCCTGTCGGGGACGCTCCCACCCGAGCTGAACCTCCTGGGGGACCTGCAGATCCTGAGGCTGCAGGGGAACGCCATCGGCGGGACGCTCCCCCCCGGGTATTCCGACCTCGGGCACCTCGTGACGCTGAACCTTTCCGGGAACGAWATAGGCGGGAGCATCCCGTGGGAGTACGGTGGCTTTGGAAGCTTCGACTCGCTGGAAACCCTCGACCTGGGCCACAACCACCTGGAGGGGAGCCTCCCCCCCGAGCTCGGGGGCATGTCGAGCCTCAGGGCCCTCACCGTYTGYTCCAACCGATTGGAGGGGACCGTCCCTYCCGAGCTCGCGGCACCCGGACGATTGGTGGCGCTCCGGCTGGGCGGGAACTCGCTGACCGGGGCGGTCCCCGAGTCCATCTGCGACAAGGTGGAGGAGAGCACCGGTCCGCTGCTCCTGGTGTCGGTCGACTGCAGCGTGGACTGTGGGTGCTGCGAAAGCTGCTGCGGCAGCGGCGATAGCGACGCGTGCTGCTGACGAACGAMCGATCCGAGGCCACAAGAAAGCGGGGGGCCTGCTGCCAATGCCCATGGCAATGCAATTCCAATGCAATTCCAATGCCAATACACATTTCACCATCTTGGTCCCCGGGACGGAGGGGGCGTTGCTTGCGAGAGGAAAACACCCTTTTGCCTACTAGAATCCACAATACATACCGTAGACACTCTTTGATATTCCAACAAACAAAACAAACACGTGCCAGCAGCGCATTTGCTCTACGCGGATAATACATCCGGAAATTAGTGCATGTACCAAACTTGCAACGGAGCTCTTCGCAGACCAGAAAGAAAGTGTCGATGCGTGTGCACGAACCAGAAATCGATCTAGTTTTAGCTGCTAGTAGTAGTAGTAGTAGTAGTAGTATTGGCGCTTCGTATCAGTAGCAATCGCACTACCACTACGGTGGATGCTCTCATCCATCCTGCTTTTGTGATGCGGTACGTACGTACGGTGCTTGATCAAATGATTAGTGGCACGAACGGTGCTTCGTGTCTCCGTAACTACCACTAGTTGGTGGAGTGCTCCATTCCCCCTTGCAACTACGAGTACGTGTAGGTACGAGTACCAGGTACTGCTAGTGCATAGCTGGATCAAAATTCAAAATCCAAGTAAAACATAAATTGGGTTCCTATGTACGTAGGGTTAGTATGGTACTTACCTAGTATGTCGGGCAAAATGACCAGCCGCCCGACAAAAACAGGAGCTCTCGTGAACAAAAATACCTACGGTACGTAAAGGCMGGTACGGCCAGCGTGTGGCGATGGCGGCATCACCTGCCTGTGTTTTCTTTTTTTGTGCTGTATGCTAGTAAATGCTACAGCGTTGTAACGTATTTAAGTTCCGAGTACAGGAAGCTCGAACCTGAAGTCACAAGTACAAGTACTCGTACGCTTCAAGGGAGTCGAAATCGAGACAAAGCGTCATTTTTGAACCCGCAGAAGAATTGTATTGTAAAGTACTCGTGCCGTGCGATACCTTTGCGATTGTTGCCCCTCCCATAGACCGAACAGGCACTCTTCGCAACACAATAACAAGCCCGAATCGAATCGAATCGAATCGAATCGAATCGAAAGCAATTCGAATCGAATCTAGTCGAATCGAAAGCAATTCGAAGCACCTGCGCAATACCACAAGAACGGGACAGCGCCACACCATGATTCGAAGACAGGGGGAGAGCAACGGMAACGGCAACGGCAACGGCAAACACCACGACGAGGAGGAGATGGTCTCCTTTCTGGGAACCGGCGCCGCGAGCAAGAATGGGCCCGCGAGGACAAGCACAGAGAGTGGGGGTTCCCGAACGATCGGGATCGTCCCGGTAGTGTCCGTCCTGTGCGGGATCGTCTTTCTGGCAACCGGTCTCTCCTTTTCCGGCGCCCTGGATTCGAAGCCGACCAGCAGCAACAGCAACATCAGCAGCAGCAGCAACAACAAAATCAGCAGCAACAACAACAACAACAACATCTCGCACCCCCCCGTCCTTCTCGAGGACGGAACCATCTCCTTCGAGTGCCCCGAGAGCTTCGAGATCTTGGGGCCCGAGGCCGACGCCGAATCGTACGCGGTGGTCTCGGAGCAGCTGACGAGGGACCGGAAGGAATTCCTCGCGACCTTCCGGGAGACGACCTTTGACGAGTGGGACCAGACCTACACCTTTGTCAAGAAGGGCCTCTCCCCCTTTAAGAAAAAGTACTACCCGAAATACCTAACGAACGGGGCCCACATCTAYGAGTCGGCCATGGGGATCGGCCTCAACCTCTACATGACGCTGGAGATCCTTTCCGAGGCCGACCCGCCCGTCTCGGGGATCACGGTCTACGGGAACGACTACGTGGCGGCCTCCGCGGCCCGGGCCAACGACCTGGTCCTGGCGGAGGGGGTCCTCCCGGAGGGGAACCGCAAGGGCGTCCTCTGCGCCGGGAACTCGCTGGACCTGGGCCACGTTCCCACCGGCGCCTTTGACCTGGTTTACACGGGGTACGTCTCGCCCCTCATGGACCCGCTCGGGATGTCGGACGGGACCGTCGGGAGCATTGCGGACGACGACGCCTCCTACTGGGGCTGGTACGACGAGATCTGCGAGTCCTTCCGCCGGAAAGCCGACGCTTCCACCAGGACCAGGAACCGCGACTGGATGGGGGCCTACCTGTGGGAAAAGCTCGTGGTGCCGAAGCAGAGGGAGTGGTTTGGCAAGTGGGTCGGGGAGATGGCCCGGATCGCCAAACCCGGCGTCCCGGTCATCGTCGAGTCGGTCTCGCAGAACTACTGCGACTACGACGTACGTGAAACGTCTTGCGCGCCGAGTTGTGGTGCACTGTGTCGCACTGTGGTGCACTGTGTCGCGTTGCGTTGCGTTTTCTTTGCCTTGTTCCCTCTCTCACACGGCGTGGTGTCTTGGTTGTTTTTTCCCTTTCGTTTGCCCGGCTCGGCTTGCGGTGTGCTGCGTTCGTGTTGCTGTCGTGGTTTCGCTCGAACGACAGAACGACTGGGGCGGTGTGGCCAAGTCGTTTTGGAAAGAGGCCGCTACGGAAAACACGTACGGCTGGAACGTCGATCCGGATTCGATCGAAATGATGGACGACACCGTCAACGAAGAGCGGTACCACGTCTTTATGATCAAAAAGAAGCAGTGAGGGAAGGGACGAAACGGCGGACAAAAAGGGAGGAACAAACGGACGAACGAACGAACGAACAATCAAAGGAAGGAAGGAAGGAATGCATCAAAGAAACAAAAGACGGCTTGCCGCCGTTGCAGCCGAGCCAGGGGCGGGATCCGCGAAGATGGGGTGGCACGAACCAAGAATCGGACGAGACGAGGTGGCCCGAGGAGGAATCTATCCATCCATCCATATCCATCCATCCATCCATCTATACACCCATCCACCCTTGGCGGATTGGACGAATCCAACGATTCGTCCCTTTCAAATCTCCTGCCGGTCGTGCTCTTGAAGCGCAACAGCACGGTGCTTTTGTAATTTCATCAAGAGATTGCGATCCAGTCTCACAAGATGTTCCATGAAAAAATTGAAAAGAATCRCAGGGACCKTGATSCTCGTTTTGTTCTTCAAAACTGAATTCGTACTGCCCTGGCATCGTCTCGTTCGTTCCCGGAAAACGACAAAAGAAACCGTTGATTGGACTGCTTCGGGGCARTGGAAGCCAAAGTGCGTGGGTACCAGGCTAGCAAATTGAAAACTGTAGCAGCGGTAGGTAGTTTTTGCTTTTTACTAGTACTCGAGCATCCCCCCACACACACCAGTATTGTTTAGGCATTTTAGTACTGTACTATGTAGTACTATGTGGTGGTGAGCACCAAAAGCAAGGACCACCACCAGATGATGGTTGCTCTACAGGACGAGGCACAGGCCTGGTAGTTGTGCTGGTGGTCTTACTAGAAGAAGCAGCAAGTACAGAGGAGGGTGGTTGTGGAATGCCTTCAAGAAATGGCCTTCCCAAAAAATAGTACTAGAACTAGACTACTAGTAGTAGGACCAGGAGTTGCTCGTACCTGGTATGCCCAAAAAACAGAATACGGCTGTTCGAGACAGGAAAAAGGTCGCGATGAGATTGTGCGTTCTCCATTGGGTTTAGTCGTACGGGACTGACCACCCATTGGATCGGTCGATCTCCTGTCACAACCTGAAAGTTTGATGCGAGTATGAACCGGTATGAGTATGTACGAGTAGTACGAGCACAAGTACAAGCTGGAGCTTCGTGACAACCTGCCAACGGCAACAGCAACAAGGAACAAGAACAAGGAACAAGAACAAGAACAAGAACACCAAAACGGAGCAATCCCACCATTGCATTAGCACCGGATTCTCGCCGCACTCGTATGCACAAGAGTGCGCACACAGCTTTGGCAAGCAAGGCATCGATCCGAGAGAGAAAAGCACAGCACGGCAGGGCACGGCACGAAACAACACAACAAGACACAACACCACACGAAACGACACGAAACGACACACGACACGAAACGACACAACACGACACAACACGACACGAAACAACACGGCACACAACGATGGTCACCGAGAAAGAGAAGAAGGCCAAGCTGCTCTACATGGCCCAGTTCCAACCGGAGAAACACGCCACCAAGATGGCCAAGAAAGAGGCCGGGTTCCTCGCCAAGGAGGAGGAACGCCGGAGGGACCACCTCCGGAGCCCCCCGGACAGGACGCAGATGACGCCGAAGGAGATCAAGATTTGCGAGCGGAGGATCGAGGGCGGGCGCAGGCTCCCCCCCGGGAAGGTCCGGGAACTGGCCAGGAGGTCCTCCTTTTCCGAGTTCTCGTACCACCTCGACACGGGCCTCGTGGTCTTTCGCGGCTCCGATCCGGCCAGCGGGTCCTCCGCGAGCATCCACGTCTACACGGAAGACGGGATGGTGGCCACCTGCATCTGGAGCAGGAGGAGGGGCCACGAGGCGGGTGCCAGTGGAAACCGAAACCGAAACGGAAACCGAAAGGCACACCCTTCGGGAGCATGGGCGGAGGGTGCCACCACCAACGGGAGAACCCTGAACCTCTTTCCCTCGGTCGAGCTCGGGGGCCTCCGGGCCCTCCTCCGGAACCCGGGGATCGGGTCCCAGACGGCCTTTTTCGGGGAGGACCGTTGCCGCGGGGCCGAGGMTTTTYCGGAGCCGGTGGCCTGGAGGAACGGGRGGGGCTCCCCCTTCTCCGACGCCGCGGTCCGGTGGGAGTACGTCTGCTCGGCGACGGGCCTCTCCACCGACAGGGCGACGGTGGACCACCTGGCGGGGGTTTGCGGCCTGTGGGAAACCTGGCGAAAGGTTGGAGCGGAGGAGGCCCTGGTGGGGGCGGTCCTGGGGGTGGCGAGCCGCATGTTCCTCGGCTACCCCATCGTGGCGCACCACCGTTTGGACGGGCCGTTCTTGCCGGGGTTGGTGCACCGGGGGGAGGAAGCGGCCGCCCWCGCGACCGCGGCGCTGGAGGCCCTGGGGAACCGGGACGCCAGGATCGAGGCGATGCGCTGGTGCCTGGGCCGCTGGCGGGACAACTATTTCATGACCGGGACGGCCATCGTCTTTCCGATCCAGACGGGCTTTTCCTTCGCCGTGGACGCGGCCCACACGGCGTACGGGAGGCTCGCCTACTCGGACAAGCTGCTGGCCACGAGCGGGTTCCGGCCGATGTACGGAAGGTAGCGCCCCCGGCGGGCCAGCAAACCACCGGCACCGCCGGTGCCCGGAACGCAGGACTCCGTCCCTGCGGTTTTTCTATAAATCCGTGCACCCGTCGCCGGAACTCGCAACGCGTTGGAATCCAGTAAGCCACTCCGTTGCTCTTTCTAAAACTCAGTTTTTTACCTATTAGAAGTAGTTTCCGTGCTCTCCACGGTGTTGGCGTGCATCGATCGATTGATCGATCAATCCATGGCCCCCTGCTTCAGAAAGCCGTAGGCGCGGTTCATCCTCTCCACGATGAGGAGCTGCTGCCTGACGCTGACGGCCCCCCGCTCCCCCGAGAGCTCCGCCAGGTCCTCAGAGACGCTCCGCAGCGCGGTCTGCGAAAACCGTCGCCGCTCCTGCCAAAGGATCGTCCGGAGCTCGTGGACGTGGAGCATCAGCATGCCCAGGTCGTCCGAGCCGAGGACGCAGTCCCCGATGGCGGGCAAAGCGTGCGGCTCGTGGTGGCGATAGGTGCAGCCCGAGCCCCTGGCGGTTTCGGGTCCACCGATGGCGGGGGGCGGGGCCGGTGGATTGCTCCTCATAATGAGCAGCCGCTCGATCTCGGTGAGTGCATCGAGGAAGGACCGGTAGGTCTCCCTCCGGGATTTCCCCCACTTGAACGTGGTGTAGAAAACAAAGACGGAGATCTTTTTCACCGTCCACATGAGCAGGACAAAGGGGGTGATCGCCGCAAGGTTCATGTTGAAATTCGTCGAAGCCTGCATCTCGTCCATGGCAACGAGCGCGTTCATCATCTCCTTCTTGATGAACTGGGCCTCGATGAAGCTCATGCGAATGACGCTGTTCATGTTGTACACGCTCTTCATGCTCTCTTCCTTCGCTTGCTCGACCAGGGTGATATCCATTGCGTCCGAGAGTCTTTCTTTCTCGGCCTCTAGCATCTCGGGGTACCTGACAAGGCGTTGGCGGTGGGATTAGAATCGACATAACAAAACGGTGAGGGGCGAACGCCAACCAACGTAACGTAGAAGGCAACTAGAGCTATGTTTCGTTCGTACAATCCTACGTTCCTTTCAACGCAAGCAACCGGGACAAAACGACACAACACGTACGAACACCATAAAAAACTACGAATCCATGCCACTCACGTTTCGTCCAACCAGCTCCGGATCATCTTTTTGAGCGTTTCGATGACGGTATCGCGGGCCTTGTGGTCGCTGATGGAATCCGGGCCCGTGGTGATTTCTTCGTAGAGAGCGACACACGGCAAAACGACGTGCTCGCGTGCGAAATCAAGAATTTTCTGGGCTGCAAACTTGACGAGGTTCCACGCGCGTCGCTTCCCGACGGCGTTGTTGTAGACGAGATAGGCAACAGAGGGGGGGACCATTGCCACCAGAAACCAATTCTGTCTCCACCACGGGGGTGGTTTCAGTTTTTGGAGCCTTCTCGCTCGCTGAACGTCGATGATATCCTCCATCACGTCCAAAAGAGCTGATACCTCGTTCATCATGAGCGGTAGATCTGAAATGCTCAACACAGAGTTTTCCGCCACACACGAATTTGGCGAAGACGACAAGAGTCTCTGTCGATTCTGTTGCTGAGTGGGCGATCTTCTTTTCCGCAATAGTGGTTCTTTGAGATCGGGAGACGATACGGAATGATGTTTGGAAGGGTTCGTTTCTTCGGTTCCAACCGGTGGATCGTCAAAACACTCGGCTCCTATTTTTGGAAAATCGACGTTGCGGGGTCTCTGGTCGTCGTATTCGTTCTCTAGGATCGGATAGCTGCTCGTGGTACAGATTCGCTTTCTCGTTCGAGAGGGGACAGACTTCATGGCGACCCATGCCGGTAGGCCGGTATCAGTGGGGGCGTAATGAATGGTTTTGTCGTCTTGGGCGACAGCGGAAGGATGGCTGGCAGGGGCAAATTCGAATGGCCAGTTTTCGGCACAAGGCAACGCGATCTTCCCGCTTGCTGCCCGACTCAGTTGACTTCGGATCAATGCCATGGCATCGACAGACCATTCGGCCAAGGCTGGATTGTCTGTGTGAATTCGACCTCCTTTCCGTTTGCGAACGGTTAGATTGGTGTAATACAAACTGCCCTGTTTTCGACGGCTTTCGATCATGGAGGAATTCCTCCTTCTAGGAGTCGTAAAATCGGGGGGAGGTGGTGCCACATCAAAGTGCATGCCGACGCTTCCCACACTAGCTTCGCTGTATTCCCTCCGCAGCTGTGGCCGGTATCGACTATTTTGGTTGTAGTTTTGGTAACTTGAAGCACCATCCAGTGATTCGTTCTCGGGGGAAAGAAATTCTTGGTCCAAAAAAGAGTCTGCATCCCCGTGGTAATGTTGGAGGCCTTGTTCGGTTCCTTCGTCGCCTGCCCCGACATCATCGTCGTCTCCGTCATCTTCGAAGGATTGTTCCACGGAATCATGGTCCGTCATTCGACCATCGGCCCCAGCGACGGCCGCCCAGTCCCCACCCTCTCCCAAAAAGCCCCACTGGGCCACGCCACGCTGCCACCCGGCACGCAAGAGATGCTGCTGGAGTTCTCCAATGGCAGAAAGACGCCGCGCTAGAACCGCTTGGATCTGGGAGACCTTTTGGCCTACCATGACGGCGTGATCGTAACCACCACCGCCGATCATTGAGTATCTGCTTGCGTTTTGGCTGCTTTGGTGGTGGTTTTTCTTCGCGTTCAGTCCAAACCAAACCATGGGCCCGGCGACGAACCATGAAAAAATAGGTCTCTCCCATCGATCACTCCAATACTTCAGGCTGGCATGAAGTTCTACCGCCTCGTCTAGTGCTAGATCCCGCATGGCCCGCAGGGTTCCCTCGGTAAGCTGCGAGGCCGTTTCTTCTGGTGACGCTGAATACGACGATGAAAACGGATGGTCCTTTTGCGCTGTTTTTCCCCCAGACGCTTCTGCTTGCTCTGCCTGTTGGTCTAGCTCTTTTTCCACTGCTTCTAACGGTAATTCTTCCCCGAAGTCTTCTTCCTTAGAGCGCATGGAATCGATTGTGGTTAGCTCGTGGGACAATAGCGATTGGACTTGCGATCGCTCGTACTGCATATCCGAGTTGTAGCTGTTGGTGTTGCTATTTCGACGACGGGGGGTATGTGTGCTATCATAGGCTTCTGAAAACGGCAACGGTGAAGCATCAGAGAAGGGAGTCAATTGAGGTGACTGAGGCATTTCCGTGGGACGTGCAACCCCGCCTGCCACTATGGATGGACGGTTGTTTTTGTTGTCGTCCACGACATAAAGAAGTTTTCGAACAGCATCCATCGACTCGTTGGGAGCCTTTGCTTTGTGCTGCCTCCCCCCGCCCCGTACACCTATGTAGGGATTGTGGATCATTTTCAATAGATTAGGAGACAGAAGGGTCACGGAACCTCTCCGGCGTTGGCTGCTCAAACCCGACCCGGCAGATACACTCGAAGACGAAAGAACGTCGTCGCTGTCTGTTTGTTTCAAACCGATGTTGTTTTTGGTGGCAGCGGATGTTTCTGCTTTCCACAGGGTCGGAAGAGTCGAAATGGCGCTTGTGATTCCAGAATAGGCAGATTCCCCGGCTTGCTGCAACGATTCGCTTGCCGATTCCAGATAGGAAGACGAGGAGGAAACGTTGCCGCTCGATTTTCTGTTGCTCTCCCCCCTTTCATTTTTGCCACCAGTAGTTGTCGCATCCAGTGATCTCCAACCCTTTCCTGCAACTTCCGATAACTTTGTGGCGACCATTTGTGTTGTACTACTTGTCCTTCTCGTTTCGTGGAACACCGATCGGGGGTCTGTGATGTGTTAGAAAGGACGGTGTGACATCACCTCCGTAACAACAGTCACGATTTTGAACAAAAGTTTTTGGTGATGGAATTTTTTGATTTTCAAAAAATTCTTGCGCTTTCATCAGAGCTTCGAGATGATTGCCATGCCCACTGCCCACGCAACTCGTACTGACAACTACGTAGCATGTTCCGAACTACGAACAAAGAAGTACCGGTAGAGAAAACGTACTTGCTCTGTGTAGGTATGGATTTATTAGTATGAACATATGAACATACCTTTCGTCGCTTTGTCAATACAATATATCCCTGTACTCGTACTACGTGGTACCGTACCAGTTCCAAGCTACACGTACTTGTCCAAATGATCTACTGTAGATAATGATTTGTACTACTACAAAAAATACGGTACTACAAATACCTACTCCGGCGATCATGAAAAATCGTTCAGAACATCCTCCTACCGGTACCGGCATGCAAATCAATCAATCAAGTACCGTAATATTAGAAAATAGATCAACAATGACATGGAAAGGTACTGTAAGACGACGAGTCGATGGAAGATTCACTCCGTAATAGGATCAAAGCTTGCAGAAAGCAATTGTTAGAAAGCACTGGGATTCGAATTTATGCGAATCACGAGGTGTGTCCTTCATGGTGTTGTACAAAGCAAACAGTGGACAAATCAAAGTTCCAACAGTACCTTTCTTTCCAACCTTCCTAATTTGTTGTGTAATCAGCGATCTCCCCGTGTGCCATTTCGTCGACACATCGATCGATTCACAGCTACTAGAGCATTGCGTCGTATCCTCGTCGTTTACTGGCTTCCTGGTCTAACCGCATCGTCTCACCATTTCCGTACCAAACGTTCGGGCCACCCATCAAAGAGGGAACCGATGGGAACTTACAGGATCTGCAATTTCCTATCAAATCCATCGGCGACGACAGAGGCCTCCCGCGTCTTCCCTTCTTCTGAGTGACGCAATGGCTTCAGCAAATCTTTGCGGGATTAGGTTGGATCCGATTGCTCAAAAATTAGCAATGCTAGCCAGCCATCGCTTTTGGATAAGGTTTTGAATCGTATATGTTATCGTTTCTTCGTAGAGGAACGATCTGTAGCCCCTAGCAGGCTTCTCGGCTGTCTTTGTTCTCGTATCCTGTTGTTGCGTTTTAGTGCATCTTGAAAGCAGGACTTTCCCACGTATGTTCGAGGTTCCTCCCAAGCATCTGTCCAGAAAGTTCGTATCGAAAGGAAACAGAAATTCCCTTCCATCTCAGACCGATTTSCGTGGTTTCATTACTGAATATGGTCAATAATATTCTATGTAAAATAATGTGGTTCTTTCGGAATGTATGCTGTAACAACGTAGGGAACGAAGCATCGAGACGCCGAGGCCGATTCTAATACCGTAAGGAGTGAAAAGTACCGTGCAATACCGTATCGTTCTTGGATACTCTCACCGATTGTGTTCAGTTGATTTTGGCACACCAGTCTCGTCGTCTTGTGGGAAGTCGCTATCTTGCATTCTTATCCATCCGCAATTTGGAAGGAGCCCTATCCAACTCAATTCGATCCCAACAAATGTTTCCCCAGCAAACTTTTACCGTTTTCCTTCTTGGAACCAAAGAACAAAACAAATGTTTGTGCTGTTTGCAAGAAAGAATAGAACGCGACATGTTCAAAATATTCAATTTTCAGTCACCGATGAAGTTGATGAATTATGAGAGGTTCTCATCGTTTAGATTTCGCACGTGGAGTGAGCACTTATGGATGGAATAGATAGTCGATCGGTTTTCTTTTCAAGATACGCACGACTCGAATCGGTGCGCGTTTGTTCATCCAGGGCGGGGAACCCATGGATACGGGTACTCGTACGAGTAAGTAGACACATAGTCTACCGTTCTACACACGACTTCAATAGTAGTAACGGTACCCTTACGGCCCTTGTGGCCGCCCGGCTTGTTGACAAACGGTATTATGTTGGTATTCATTGCCAAAGAACAAACATACAATTCGTTTCTGCGATTTGGACGCAGATTGATCTGATTGGACAAAACCGATCCAAATTTGAGTCTCGCTTTAAGCAACGTTGGACGATTATTCTTGGGAGTGAGACCAACGGGAACGCTATTCGACTCAATGCTGCGGTTCCCACGCGATGTGGCGCACTCGTACTCCTTCGCATGCGCTGTTCGATTGGCCATGCAGGGTAGTAGATTTTGCTACAGGTTCTCACGTTAGAAAACGAAGACTCACACACCCTAAACATACTCCTCCTAGTGAGTGTACCGTATGGTACGGTTCCTCCCTATTGTACAGTTAGCTTTGCCAGCATACCGTTTTTTCATGTTTTTCTTTCACCGATGGTTACCGTTATCGTATCTGCTCCGCCTAGTAGCAACTTAATTTGAGTTGGCTCGTTTCTATTCGCAAGGAAGAAAGCAATCGGAACTCCCAATCTCCAWCGAACTACCTCACTCACCTCTGGACTACAGAGAAGCAACAACGACGAGGACGACGACATCGACGACTCAAAAGCAAGCGGAGACGTCGGAAGTTTCGATCGAATATCKGAACTCTGTACATCAAACCAAGCTCAACTGTGTTGGCCGTTCTTGTTTTGTTCGCCTTGGATCCACCCAGGCCATACACGATACGGCAACCTTGAAAGACAGCAAGTGGAATCATTGGCAGCGGCAGCATCAGGATCATCAGCAGCAGCGCCACCCCAATCCACGACACGAATAATTTTGTACGGATACGTACACCGCGAATACAYAGCATTGCGGGTCGATCGGCACACCAGACCAAACAAAAAGCCAGTCGATTGCCATGCCGAGGTTCGGTTTTGGATCCGGGGGTAGCAATGGGATTTCGCTGAACTCTCCGAGAAACAATTTCTCCTCTCGATCCAGGGGAAGCGAYCAGGCACGAAAGGAAAAAGAAAGCAAGTCGTCGGGCAAGGCCCGGAGGCGGAATTTCGGATTTTTGAAAAGCGGCATCGGGAAGACCGAAAAGTCGGGCATAGAGAACAAACTATCCATCTCCCGGCGTCGGGAGCACGCCAAGCAGCTGGCGAACCTGGCCTACTCAGACGATCCCACCAGCATCGCCACTACCGCTACCAGCACTAGCACKAGCAGCCAACAACACCATCACCAGCAACTAAACAATTTTGCCAGCTTTGCGCAAGTCCCGCCACTTGTTCCACAGAAGAAGAGCCGAAAGATCGTCAGCAGGCCGCGGACCGCGAGCAACAAGAGCCAAGCCAGCAGCAATTCAAATCTCAGCAGCGAGGTCGACGCCTTTGGCAGCTCGGATCCCTTTGCCTCTTTTGACGCTTTTGGGGCGGGCTTTGCGGCCGGCGACACAAGTGCCAGCGCTCCTTCTTCGGCTGCTGGGTTTCCAGATTCTGGCTCCCGCGAGTTTTCAGAGATGGATTTTTTCTCTGACCAAATGGCTGGTGCCGTGACCCCCGCGAAGCAGTCGCTCCAGAAGAAGAAGCAAAAACCGAAGGCATCAACACCGGCATCAACGACTTCAAATACACTCGTTTCAACGGAAAAGACATTTTTCACCGACGATGAAACGGCTTCCTTCTCTTCTAACCACACCAACAGCGAGCGCACCAAGAGCAGCCAGAACAGCAGCGTCAGTGTTGCGGCCCGGAGGCGGATGCGAAGCCACATGCAACGGGCCGCCAACGGCCAGGGCAACGGGAATCACGACACTAGCAGCAGTGCATCCAGCGTTGGGTCGGCTTTCTCGGCCTCCCAGGAGTCCCACTCCTTTCCCCCGCTGCACACACAGTTCCCCCCGGGGTCCCCTCCGATGGCACAGAACCGGAAAAACCGGGTGGCGGCATACAGCCGCAACAGCTCGGGGAGCCTGGGCAGCGGGAGTAACCACAACAACGACCCTCACTCCTCTCCCTTTCGCAGGGATCCATTCGGAGGTAGTGCAGGGAGCGTGGGCAGCTCGAATGCAAACCACAGTGTGTCTTCTCCTGGCGTCAACCTTTTCGATTCTGGATCTGAGATCGGCGGCGGCGGGTTTACCTTCGACGCTTTTGGTCTGGACCAGTCCCAGGTGGAAAGGGAGGTGAACGACGCCATGCAGGATATTCTTGGGGATGGGGGATTTTCCATTTTTGTGGAGAAGGGCAGCGTTGTAGGGAGCGCCGCGGGAAGTGGCCACCAAAGTAATTCGTCCTTTGGCCAGAACGATAGCTTCAGTGGGCACCAAACCGACGCAAGCGACGATAGCTTTGTGCCGCAGCACTGGGATTCGTCTCCGAACACAAGCCGGAATGCATCCCCTGTTCCGCTGTATCACCCACAGAGTGGAAGCAAAACCGGCCACCATCACCACCAGAATGGCAACCATTCTTCAAGTTTTGCAGATGGCTTTCACGTCGACAACTATCCCACCACTCCGCAAAGAGAACCACTCCCCCACCAGCCACAATCTGCTCAGCAGCGCCGGATGGAACGCAGAATGCAACAAGGTGCCGATTTTACGCCATCCAAAGGAACCAACCCTCTACGCAATGCCGTCTCGGAGCCCCCGAAAAAGAGCAGAGTAGCCAGGTCATCATTGGATTTCGCAAAGGATGCGTTTGACAGCAGCRCCACGAATTGGAAGGAGAGCGATCCATGGGAAGACGATCCTTTCGCCTCTTCCGACGGGGGTGGACGGATTTCGGAGCTATTCTCCGGGCGGGGGAGCAACGATTCGTTCTCGGGGCCCACGGCCCGTAGGCTGTATTCGGAAACGCAATCGAACGTCCAGGACTACTACCACTCKGGAACAGCTGCTGCTGCTAATTCCCTTTTGGATGTGATGTCTCCAAGCACTCCCTCGAGCAAAGCAGGAAATAACGAACACATGCAAGCTTCTGCCTTTTCTGATACGAAGTCGGACGTGGGGTTCTCAGGGAACAGGTTTTCCTTCGAGGCCTCGTCGCCCAGTTTCTTCGAGCTTCCACCTCCGGAAGAAGACGCGGGGAACCAAAGCGAGAGCGACCAGAGCGACGACATGGACCAGATGCAAGATGATCTAGCACACGAGTTCGCCAGGGATATTGTGCGGAAGACCATATCTCCAGCCGCACGAAGCCAGCAGAGCAGCCAGAGCCGAAGAAATCGATATTTCGGTGGCGATCACATTGATGAGAACGATCGAGAACAGAATTCCGAGTATCCTTCTCAATCGATAAACAACACACGAGATTTTAATCGAGCCAATACACCCAAAGAAACGACAGAACCCACTAAGCGATATGGCAATTTTCGATCCCGGTATGAATCGCAGAGCAAGTCAAGACTGGAAGCGTCGGAATCGGCATCGATTGAAGCAACGAAGGCGTCAACGAGTGTTCCCAAATGGAAACAGAAACAGCAGGCCGCCCTACGAAACCAAGAAGAGCTCCCAATAGAGGAGAAGAAGGAGGAAGAGAGAGCCGCGCATCCAGTAAATAGAGAACAGACGCAACCAAGGAGGATTAGCAGCTTGAAAGCGAGATGGGAGGCAAAAACCCGTCCCCCACCAGAGAAACAGATCCCAAGAGCCTCGCCGAAAGCGATCGAGCGTTCAGATCACACCAGGCGGAGCATAAGTATGATGGACAATTCGTTCGAGATGCTAACACCGGATATGGTGGAACAGAGACGGCAAGAACGAAACAAGAACAAATTCGATAACCTTCGAAAATCAATGGGGGTTATGGAAGAGGAAATCACGGTGGATGATCAAACGCCCAAGTCCGACAGCGGAGGATGGAGAGATGGATCCACTGTCGCGAATGCAGCCTTGAACCGTATGCATGAAGCATCATCTCCAGGAAAGTTTCAATCCTCGGGCACAATGGCAGACAGCAAGTCGGACATTGGATCTTCACCTTCCTACGTTGCGAACGTTCGGCTTCGGAAGGTATCGAGTCCGCATGCTGTACCGAGAAGCCCAATGATGGATAGGAGTGTTGACAAGAGCACGCTAAGCGCAGAAAATAATTATTCCCCTTCCCCTGCATATCAGTCTCCTGTTGTGGAAGCCCCCCCTGAACGAAAATTGACTTACAGAGAACGCCGAGAAAGGGAATTGAAAGCGCACCGCGAGAAAAAAGCAGCAGAGGCTGCAGAAGCTGCAAATCAAAAACCAGTAGAAAGGAAGATGACGTATAGAGAGCGACGAGAAATGGAGTTGAGAAACCAACGCGAGCAAGAAGAGAAAGCGGCAGCACAGTCCCCAGTGCCAGACAAACAAAAAGAAAGGAAACTGACTTATAGAGAAAGACGGGAGATGGAATTGAAAGCACAACGAGAACAAGAAGAACAAACTAACTTGCAATCAACTTCTCAGCAATCCCATGATGTGGCTTCGTTAATTCGGAAGAGAATATCAGCAAATAAGTCAAAGGGTAGGGCAAGTTCACACGAAACATCGTCAAGAAGTTTGCCAAATGTTCAGGAACAGGAAGAAGAGGAGAATAATAACTCCCGAGTACCCCAGCATTGCCCATCTCCTTCTCGTCAACATTCTATGTTGAACAAGCCCAACGCTCCCAGTGAGTTGAAGGTTTCCACCAACGAAGGGATTTACTACGAAGAAGACGCTGCAATCAACGCCATAGACAACCACCGAAGTCCCCAACGAAATCCAGCGAAAATGCTAGAAAATATGCTTGCAACAAGAGCACCTCCTCCAACGAAGCAGCCTTCTCCAAAGGTATCAAGCTCTCCCTCAACGTCACGGAGAAATTCAGCGCAAATGCTTGAAAATATGTTGGCAGCTAGAGCTCCTCCTTCCATCGAGCGGCCGCCTTCTGACGAGGAACCCGGCTCTCTCTYATCTTCTCGCAAAGATTCTGCGAAAATGCTTGAAAACATGTTTGCAGCAAGAGCCCCTCCCTCCATTAAGCAGAATGCTGCGAAGAAACCCAGCTCTCAGGCAAAGTCCCCTCATGTTATGCTCGAGAACATGCTTTCTGCCAAACAAAATCCCAAGCCTGATGTATCACAATCGAAGACTGCACCAGGTGATGAGGCACCGCAAGGTGATGTGAAATCGATGCTATCGGGCTTTCTCTCGAAACGAGCGCCACCTGCGCTTCAATCGCCTGCTAGGAAAGGCGATACCGAGTCTCTACAGAAGGATAACGTTAGATCACAGACGGTAGAGAGTGATGATGTCCCAGCACCTGCTACCCCTTCTACACATAAACCTTCGTCCGGCCTTCCTGTAATAAAGGATGATCCGAAATTTGAAAAATACTTCAGAATGTTGAAGATGGGACTACCGAAGGAAGTTGTAAAGCATGCGATGGTTAGAGATGGACTGGATCCTTCAATTTTGGATCTCGATCCAAACAAGCCCGCCGGTGTCCCCCTCAAGGAAGATCCCAAGTTTCAAAAATACTTCAGGATGTTGAAAATCGGCATCTCAGTGGACCAAGTGAAAAATTGTATKGAAAGAGATGGGCTACAACCTAGTATATTAGACCAGGATCACAATCTCCCAGTAATCGCCATCGAAAAACCAAAAGAGAAGAAGAAGAAAGAAACGCATCGCCGTGCACGATTGCACTGGAAAACTATTCAAACTGTAGTGAAGAATTCTCTATGGGCGGAGGTCCAATCGGAAGTAGGTGGAATCGACATTGATGAAGAAGAGTTCAGGGACCTGTTCCAAGCAGATCTCAAGGCTTCAAAAGTAATGAAGTCGCCTTCTAGTGCTGCTAAGAAAAAAGGTGCCGCAGTTCGAGTCATTGATTCCAAGCGAGCAAATAATGGAGGTATCATTCTCGCTCGTGTGAAACTCACGCATGATCAAATGGCGGAAGCAGTTGATCAGATTGACGACTCTACCTTAACAGCAGAACAAATCGAAAATGTGATCGAGTATCTTCCCACGAAGGAAGAACGTGATGCTTTGGAAAAATATATGCTCGACGGCGGGCAAGATGCGGCTCAGAAATTCGACGGTTTGTGCGAATGTGAGAAATTTATGGTATCAATGATGACTGTGAAACACGCAAAACGCAAGATTCGTGCGCTGCTCTTCAAATTACAATTCATGACGTGCATGGAATCTATTGCAAAAGATGCCCAAATGATTGATACTTCTTGTGATGAATTGGTAAATTCCAATCGCCTTCGACAACTGCTTGGAATTATTTTGCAGTTCGGGAACCGTCTGAATACAGCTGGCAATAGTAGCAAAGGAAAAGCCGGAGGTTTCTCTCTTGAATCGCTTTCCAAATTGAGCGTGGCTAAGGCTTTTGACAAAAAGACAACATTTCTTCACTATATTGTCTTAATTGTCCAGAGAAACAATGAACTCCTCCTCAAATTTTACGACGATATTCCGACTGTCATGGAATCAACTTCTGTGTTTTGGGATCAGTGCCAACAGGATTTGGAAGAAGTCGAAAATCAGCTTGAAAACGTTCGCAGAATTTCTCTCCATGAGGCAAGATCGCATCATCAAGCGAGCGAGATCAGTGATGATGACAGTCTTGGAGAGATGGAGCTTACACTGGAGGAGGAAGTCATATCACTAAGGGCAACTCAGACAGGACTGTTTACTCTTGGTGCCATCAAGCAGGTTTCTGTATTGCGCGAAAAGATCGAACGAACGAAGGCAAAATGTTTGCGTATGAACGAATATTTTGGCGTAAAGGATACAGAACCGCAGGAGATCTTTACCGCGTTTGCGGACTTCACGAGAGACTTTCAAAAGGCAAAAGAGCAGGTGTTTTCGACAGCTCACAAAAAGTTGCGTGAAGAGCGGAAAAAAGCGAGACAAAAAACTCCCACGAAAGCAAAATCTCTTCCATCTGCGGGCTCCAAGCGCGCTCCTCCTGGTAAACCTTTGATCAGAGCATCCAGCCACCAGCCAAATATGGGGAAATTGTTCGGCGATATTAAAAAGCGTCAGACGTCGACAGATGACAACATCCAGTCATCCAGAGCCGACCTTTTGAGTTCCATCAATGGAAGGAAAGCATCGGGCAACACGAATACTCCTTCTGCCAGAACAAGTCTGCTGAGTTCCATCAAAGAACGCCAGTCTCCTTCGGAAAACAATGATCCTAGAGCAGGCTTATTGAATGCCATCAAGGAGCGCAAATCGCCCGAAAATGGCAAGGGGGGGCTTTTGGAAGCTATCAGCCTGAGCCGTTCTTCATCTGGGAGCAATGAGGAACGCAAACCGTCGTTCGAAAATAATAGGGCGGGTCTCTTGAATTCAATCAAAAACCGGCAACCGGCCTCAGAATTTAAAAACTCGAACACGTCCACAGAATCGGCTAGAGAAAAGATGAGGCAAAAGGCGATGAGAAATCAAAGAAGCTACAGTAATCCTCGCATAAACGCTGCCGCCGAAGCCATCCCATCCCAGGCATCACTCAAACCAATTAGTACCAGGTCGCCCAGGGATACAATGAGAAATCACCGCCGACGAGTGGCGGACGCCGTACGAGCTCGAAATGCGAATGCTCAAGGAACGCAGTAGCTGGCTTGAATAAATTCACGACAGGGCGGTCCAATCTATCCTGGCACTTTGAAACTATTGAGTTTCTTCACAGTTCCTCAATTTGTAACATAACATGGAGGTGTACAAATAATGAAAATATAGGGGGATAATTTGTGCTTTCATTATAATATAGATGTATTTGAACCTGAAGTCCGAAAGTTTTGTAAAAAGTTGATGCTTGTGATTATTTTATGTAGCTGTGTCTTGAATTTTGTACGCTTGCAATAGATTTCGACTACAATACATCAGATCGATTGGTCATCCCATCTCTTGATGTTGGTCTTTTTGCATGCGATTCGACAAATGTTGCGTTTGTGTATTTTGTCGGAGTTCCTGTCGGTTGTTGGACCTCGGAGTGGATGAATAATTAAATAAATAACTATATCCATTTCAGATCAATGCAACGCATTCCATCCGACGCCTTTTTATGTTACCCGTCGCTCCCTCGAGAGCACCAAATAATCATATGTTCCGATCAAAGGACCCGTTTAGTATCCGCGAACAACATCGCCGTAAAAGGAGCTTCCCAGCATGCGTTCCGTTTCGGTGGGAACGCAGACGACCTCCACAGCGTCGGCATCGAGTGTACAGAACTTGTTGAATCCCGCAAAGCACCAGTCGGCCTTGTTCAATCGCAGCAGGGCAATGACCAAGGCCCCCAGGGTGGCCAGAGCGATGATCATGGCCAGCAAAAAGATTAGCACCGAGGCCTTTCCGGTGCGCTTGACGTATCCGTCGATGTAGGTCTTTCCGATCAGGGCACCGGTAAAACACGTGCAAAAGAAGGTGACGGCGTACTGCCACGGGACCATTCCCGACGTAATGTACAATATCGCGACACTGCTCGATGTCAGAACGATCATCGTAGCGGTGGTGGCGGTCGAAACACGCGGGTAAATCCCCATGACGAGCATCAGGGGTCCCAAGACCATGCCTCCACCGATTCCGATGAGCCCGGCGACGATGCCCGCCACAAAGGTGAAAAAAGCATAGAACCGCGTCTTCTGGAAATCCCACAAGACGTCCTGTTCGTGGAAGGGGTAGTTGACGGCCTTCTTTTGGGTGGTCTCGCGCATAAGCTTGATGGCGAAGAACGTCGCAAACCCTAAGGTCCAGAGAAATTGGATTCCGATCAGTACTCCGTACCACGGACTGGCGCAGTCAATTCCAACGAGAGATTCGACTCCCTTTCCACCCTTGAAGAAGGTCAACAGGGTCAAACCGATCCACAAGACACCAAAACAAAACATTTTTTCGACGGGGTATTGACGGGCGTCCCGTTCCAAGAACCAGGTTCGCTTGGCTATTTTCTCGGAGTCCATGACGATTTCGGCCTCGTTGTTCTCGTCGTTGTCCTCGGCGGCCATGGAGGCGGACGCGGTGACCTCGACTTCTCCGTTGCCGTCCGAAGAGGGCCCCTCCGAGTTTTCGTTGTCGTTGTCGGTCGCTGTGTCTTTCTTGGCGTTGGCGGAGGGGTCCAGGGCGGCTTGTTCCTCCGAGTCCGCGGCTTCCAGGGCGGCCTTGGCCATTTCCTTGGCGCGGGTGTCCCACCACTTGTGGAAGGTCTTCTTGGCGGTGAATCCCAAAATGACGGCGGCGGTGAAGAGATAGAGCCAGTTGGGGAGGATTTTTTGGATCAGGACTCCCAAAACGGCACCGGCCATCTCCATGGGAGCCAAAAACAGAGCCATGTCGTAATCAATGAGCGGGCGGGTGTAGTACTTGGTCGTCTCCGTGTTGGGTTCCCCGTCATCGTTGGTGGGAACGTCGGCCACCGCGCGTTCCTCCGCCGGGCTTCCGTTCCCGCCGGCCACCGCGGTCGTTTCGATCTTGGCCGTAAAGGGATGCATGTTGCGCAGGTTGAGGAGGAGTCCCCCCAGCGAGGCCCCAAAAATACTGGCCTGGCTCAGGCCGCTGGCGGGCTTGGGCGCAAAGTTGAGGAGGAGGATTCCGAGGGGGACGTAGATGCCTCCCCCGCCGACACCGCAAGCCGTGGCGACACCGGCGGCGCAGAACCAGACGAGCATACCGATAATGTCGCGCCAGAGGTACTGGGGAGAGGGGTTCTTCGAGGACAGCAGCTTTCGGGTAAAGCACTTGTCCTCGCCGTTAAAGGTGTTCAGGTTGCCCTCGCAATCCAGACAGTCCGTCACGTAGGAATATCCGCTCTCGCATTCCTCCGTGGGACACTTGAGCTGTTCCGAAGAGCACTTGCCGCCGCCGGCGGCCTGGACGACAACCGTCGTTCCCGCCGCCAGGCAGAAGAGCAGGGCGAAAAGAAAGTTYCTCATTGTAGTGGCGATGCAAAGTGGGGCCGTCGATGCGATGTCGTAGAGCAGTGATCAGAAAAGGTCTATAGGCACGATTGCTGTGTCGTTCCCAAACGAAAAAGGTGCGTCAGTGAGGCTGTGGTGTATAGTGTGATTTGATAACGACGATATGCTTGGGCAGAAGTGAGACTCACTCGTGATTTTGGTTCTGTTTCGTACGATAAAAGTGCGTTCGCCATGCACCGGTACAATGAAAATATGAAGCTTTGAGTTTGGGCTACGACAAAAACACAAAAATACAAACACCATCGGATGATGGAGAGGCGAAGAATGCACGAGGAGGGCACGAAGTGTCAACAAAAAAGAAAAAGAAGAAACTTTTCAACCATGGTGCAACTACGAGTACTCGCATTCGCATTTGGTGGCCATGAAATACATGTGGCATTGGATTTAGTAATCTTCTACAATTTCTCACCGCACGAGGTCCCTAATTCATGGGCTTTGCCACGGTCATTTTTGATTCGCTGTGGGGGGTCGTATTTTGATGAAGTGGAGCTTTTCATTCGCTGTTCCGGTACAAGGTATTCTCCACAATAAAAAGTTCKTGGTTTTCGTTCCTCCTAAGAAAGCGGCCAACTGTTTTCATTGGAACGCAGATGATCGTGACATATGATTGGCGGAACGGAAGGAATGTCAAAGCGRGTGACGTTGGGGTGACGTAAATCAGGTTTTAATGCGGTARTGTACGTCGTCTGTTTTTGTACGAGTACGTATAGTACCGTACTACAACATCGACACAAGGAACGACAATACAACCTACCGCACGTACCGTACGTACGCTACAACGAGTCCAATACTGTAAGGTGTGTCCCAGTTCCCAGTAGTACAATGCAGTACTTCATGGAGCCAATTGCCGAAAAACTGCCGGCAGATTTGAAGAATGAACGGGATGTGAATTTTCGAGATTCTTCACATTCTTCTTTGTTTCATGTTGTGTGGGTGGTCAGTTCCGAAACTACTCCTACTGGTTCTGGCCGTCGCGCAACAATCTATAATGTTTATTAGAGTTCAGGTTGACGTTCCACCAAAATCCTACTGTAAATCCGATTTCACCGAAAAAATCTCATCGCATAGTCTTCGAAGGCCCCCAATCCAATCAATCGTTTCATCATGTGTCACCAACGTGAAGAAGAAAACTGATCACCAGAAAAATACCTTCAATACCTATACGAGGAAGGACGGTAAGTATGTACTAGTGTTTTGTATTTTTCATCTTGCCTTTTTTTCTTTTGTGCTTCATTTCGAATTCGTTCGAGATTCGAGTGATTCAACCGAAGGAGGAAATACGTGCAAAACGATGAACGAAGGCGAGAACTCGTCCCAAGAGAGGAACGATTATATTTGCATCGGTGTGCCGACAACACAATCGTCGTTGCCCCCGGTGGCCAAGACGGAGGAGGTCGAGGAGGATCCTTCCGCCGCCGCTGCAAAACTTCTCAAGTCTCGAGGAACCTGTTGCTTCCTGATGAAATTTGGGGTATGCAATCCTCGGAACCCGCCCTGCCGATTCTATCATCCACCGGAGGGAGCCGTCGTCGACGACGGGGTCTCCCCCTGCGCCTTTGGCCTGGCCTGCCGGCAGGGCCACGCGAAACGCATCCGGAAATCATTCGCCTCCCGGGCCGAAAAGGATGCCTACTGGACAAAATACTACGGCTACGATGCGGGGGAATCCCCGGCGGTCCGCGATGCCAACCGGCTCGAGTCCCAGCTGGAGCCCTGGCCGACCTCGGATATTCGAAAGCGGCTGGTCCACGACTTTGGGGAATCCTTTCTGGAAATGGACCCCCTCGACCGAAAGACCCTGATGGAAAAGCTCCTCRCACACTATAGACGCCGGGAGGACGCCTCTCTGAACACGAACAACCTCCCGATCCGAAAACGCATCCGGGTCCGGGGCGAGACCCCCGTCCCGCCGGATCTCTGCGCCTCCCTGCTATCGGAACTGAAGGCCTGGCGGAGGTCCCACGGAAACGTAAACACGAGGCCGTCCATCAAGGCAACGTCCTACCTGATCCTGAGGGCGCCCTCCGAGGAGCTCCCGCCCGACACGAAGGAAAAACCGGCGGGGATGAGCCGGAAGGAATTCAAGGAACTGAAAAAACTCAAGCGGTTTYGGTCCCTCTGGGACCTGGCCAACAAGGCCATCGAACTCGTGAGGGGCCACGATCCGGCCTTTCTTGAGAGTTTTTCGGCACTGGCGGTAACCTACGGCTTCCGGGGGAGCCCGCACATTGACAAGCAAAACACGGGGCCCTTTTACGGATTGTCTCTGGGGGAGTTTGGGGTCGAAGGGGGGGGTCTTGGCAGCGGCAGTGGCAGTGGCAACGGCAACAAAACGAGATGCGTCAACGGCGGGGGATGCGTCTGCGTCGAGGCCGATGCCTTCACAGTGGCGCACGTTTCGACGCACAACTGCCTGGCCAAGTGCGACGGCCGGTATCCCCACTGGGTATCCGATTACGAGGGGGAACGCTATTCGCTCATCTACTACGCGACCTCGGCCGAAAAGGACGACTTCACCGCGCCATCGAAAGCGTTTTTTGGAACGGTCCTAGGGGACAACGAAGAACTGAGGGTGCGAGAGACGGACAACCAAACAGCGGTATAACATTACCACAAGAACGATGACAATAATGTAAATGGGTATGGTGTAAAGCTAAAAATACCGATCAAATCAAAGAAAAGTTTCTAGTTCTAGAGTATCTGTATTAGGACAATAAGGAGAAACGACATGATGTTTTATCTTCGTTATTGAATTCCCACACTGCTCTACTGCTATTGATGCTGTGTTGTRTCATAGCTGTTAGGATTACTTGTGATGTTGTGCTCCACACCGGATGAACTTTCAAATGGATGAGAGTAGTCTYCATCTTCTGAAAATATTCAAATGTGAAACATGTTTGATGGAATATCTTCTTTACTTATGCAACGAATGAATTAAGTTTTGATTTGCAGAATTTCTRAAGTATTTGAAGCACCAAAGTGTTATTTACAACAAATCAAGAAATCCAATTTTTCTTCCATATTTTTGTAAGTTCCAAGTGGTTTGTGACAATCCCTTGTGGTTATTTCAAGACCCTTGTTGTTTTAAGACTTTTGTGTCTTATAGTTTGTTGGTGGTTTCCTTCTTGGCTTATTGCTTCAGGCTGATTTTTAATGCCTTAACTTCAGAGTTAGATATTATGCAGCACTTTTTCAAATTCAATTCTTGTTACAAACAAACTCAGTATATGCTGATGTAAATGTGACATGTCACACTCAGAATGACAGCCAATATTTAGTCTTGCTGTAAGCAAAAGTTTGCTTTTGCTCTACTTTTAGGCTCTTCTTAGAAAAAATTGTGACATTTTGATTGCTTGTTTGCTTTTGAAGGAACTCATTCTTGTATGATCCTCGCTCTCTCTTTCATGTATATTGTTGTTGCAATTTTTGACTATCTGAGAGCACTGAATCGTCTTCTCCTAGGAGGACTTGTTGGTGTTCAGCATGATATGGCTGCAATAGTGATAGTAGYTGATAGTAGGGCCGAGCTAAAGCTCTACTCCTAGAGGTTGAGCTGAGTCCTGGCAATCCTGTTTCTTCAACTTTGTCAAAATATTATAGTTCAACATCCCTATTCTTAGTAGTAGTATTGGTACATGCCTACTAGAGTGAATTTAGAACTAGGCCCTTGTTGCAGTTGGGGTCTATAGTAATCATCTCAAGGGGAGAAAGTTTATCAGGTCTATGCAGGTAAATGGTGGCTACTACTACTTGTAATATGGTGATAGAAACAAGAATAGTAGAACAATAAAAACAAAAAGACAAGAAAGGGTGGCTTTGCACCAGCAATAGCATCAAAGTTGACTATGATTTGGTACAATTGATGTTTGAACATTTTTGGGCCCCCCTGTAGTAGTATCTGCTGGTGTAGTGCCCATCACTAGTTGTACTAATAGTAGGTGATTTTGGTGTTCTGAGATGTGGTATTTGTTGGGTCTTGTACTGAAGAATGGACATGGATTCCTATTTGATAGAAGCAATATTATCACATGATGATTTCCCATTCTTATTCCATCAAATACCAATATTGATAGAATTACTGATAGCAGTAGTATTTTTGCAAACATGATTCTTAACTGCTGGTGATATCAACAATATGATTTTTCATACTACTGCTGGTGTCTACTTCTTACTAGTAGTAGTACTAGTGTATTGTTCCACCATTAAAAAAATACCAAGTATTGGTGGAAATATCTATGCTACCCCAATGCATTTCATCAATACTAGTATGCATTTGATGTTTGGGACTCATTGTCACCAATACACAAGTGAGTATTGCCAACTGCATCCTTGTGTCCCCACAGGTGCTGGTGGTGATGGTGCTGCACATGGTGCCATCAAGTCTGCTGAAAGAATTTTTGAAAACCACTTCAACAAGAACAAGTCAATATGAAATGTGTAATTTCAACAAAGCATAAAAAATTATCAGACTAAAACATCCTTGCTGAGTTGAATTATCCAAATCAAATAATTGTTGTTGGGACATCATCATGACAATGCATTGCATACTAAAATGACAATGACGAGGATGGCACAATAATTCTTCAAGACAATATTCTTGTTACTTTGTTGATGTGGCATTTCAGCACCTCACAAACAAGAATATTCTGGTTGTCAGCAGATTGCTGGATCCTGTGAAGTAAGGAAGAAGAGTGGAAATATTTGTCAAGAAAAGRCCTTTAGGATGGTGTTGAACTACTAGTAGCTATTACCACCAGCACTGCAAAACTCAGCTAGTACTAGTTGTACAACATCTACTACTAGTAATAGTATTTCTGGATGTTTAATAAGAAATTCTTGACTCTCATTTTGCAGTTTTGCTGAAGCTATGTACAGCAGGAGGGATGGGTGGAGAACAAGAGATTTGTTCTTCTTGTTAGCTACTACTAGCACGACTGAATCAAGAACAACAAGACGAAGGACRAGAAGCAAGAAGTGGTGCTGCTGGTGGTGGCTGTTGACTCTTCAATACTACTTCACTTGCTGTAGTAGCTAATCATTTGACAACAGGAGGTAGGTAAGCCAGGAACAACAAAGCAAGAAACAACAACATAGCATCCATCTTGTGTCATTGCTACTCAAGATGTATGATACATTGTAGCTCAAGCCAAGAAAAAGTTGCATGAAAATTGCTGTAGGTGCAACTTTCAAAAAAGAGCTGGATGGCAGGATTGAACTACCGACCTTTCGATTACGAATCGAATGCTCTACCACTGAGCTAAACCAGCTTGGATAACAGACGCGGAAAAATTATTTATATACACTTTCTAAATAAAAACGAGTACGTACTCGTTTTCAATTTAGAAAGTGTATATAAATAATTTTTCCGCGTCAACTAAATAAAAACGAGTACGTACTCGTTTTCAATTTAGAAATACATCTATTCGTTTTCCGTACTAACTACCTCGCACCAGGTAAGGGTAGGTACAACTTGTGCATCTGCTTCATGTAAAACAGAGMTAAGAAGGTCAATCAAGAATAAAGGCACAAGGTTAGATTCATACGTCCTCAATTACGACATTCCATTGCATTCGAGGATGGTTCCTTCGTCGTCTTGTGTGATAGGAATCTGCCACTGGCTTCTGACCGTCGCCACCCTGGCCGAAACCGCGTGGGCACTCTCGTCGCCGTCGCCGTCGTCTTCCAATGCCGMCGCGGCAGCAAGCATCGACGCCTCCGGGATCCGTGCGATTTCCCTCGATGTGACGGGGACGCTTCTGGCCACGAGGGAACCCGTCGTCAAGAGCTACCGCGACGCCGCCGTCTGGGCCAGGCTACCGGTGGTTCCGAGCGAAGCCGAGTTCAAGAAGGGATTTAGGGTGGCCTTTCGAGAGCGATCGATCGAGAGCCCGTGTTTCGGGGGCGTGGAGGGGATCTCCGGCCGCGACTGGTGGCTGGAAACCGTTCGTCGTGTCTTGGATTGCGCCCTCGCCGAAGGGAGCGACAGTGGCGAAGACAACGAAGGAAACGAAGACACCAGCAGACCACAGCAGCAACAGCAGTATACGGAAGAGGAGTTCCAGCGATACTTTCGCCGGGTGTACCAGCATTTTGGAAGCCCGGCCGGGTACAGACTTTTGGAGGATGCGGCGTCCTTGCTGTCGGCTCTGCAAGACACCGAGACCGAACACGGCAGCGGACTCATACTGGGAATTACCTCCAACACTCCCATCCGTCACATGGAATCCGTTCTGCCCATGYTGGACTGCCTCCACGATCGTTTCTCGTGGTTCACCTGCTCCCAGGAGATCGGCCACGAGAAACCGGCGCCGGAGATCTTCGGGGACGCCCTGCGGAAAGCCCGGTTCTGGCTGGACGAACCGGACCTCCCGCCGAGTGCGATCCTGCACATTGGCGATTCGCACACCAACGACTACTGYGGCGCGAGGGCGTTCGGCTTCCGGGCGCTCCTGCTCGACAGGAGCGGCCATCCCGACGTGAATTCCTACCAGGACTGGCTGGAAGCCCCCGACTATCCGGGGAAGAGCCCAGAGGATCTGGAGAAGCACACAATCACCAGCCTGGAAGAGGTGGCGGGGATTTTGGGCCTCTAATCGAAAAGCAGAGCTACTGCCGGAGCAACAATCCGTGCCAACTCTTCAGGGGGGATCAAGAAAGCACGAAACGGTCTATTGGACGGAGCGATGTGCCGCTAAGTCGTACCGAAGGCAAGYAGMTTGTAATGCAATGGTGTGTGGGCGACGGGAACGATACGGCATTGCAGAGAGCAAAAACTCCGATACACGCACGAGAGAGATACAAACAACATATTATAAGGATGCTCTTTCATAHCGTTCCGATTCGATTCACGGATAATTGTTTGTATGGATGCAGGCATGGCACACACGCTAGAGGTTTCTACTCCGCACGCTCTAGGGCGTATGACTGTGCTTTGTCTGGGTAGAAGTATCTTGAAGTATCTGTTATGTGACAATGAGCGATATGAAAGCAGGTCTTAATCCATCGGGATGACATTAGTTCCACTGCCATTTCTATCATTTGCCTCCATCGAATTCATCACATTTACCGGCACACTCCCTTCGAGCCAGAAATCGCGAGGATAGCTAGGAATGATGCCATAATAATATAACAGTTTGGATATTCTGCGTCGGTTTTTATTGCTCTGTATTATTCAATACATGCGGAACAAAGTGTGACAAAAGAAGTTGTTTTCGTTTCAAGATTTTCTTGTGCTTTGACCTAGCGATACACAAGAAATAGATTTGCGTGGCCTCACAAATAGATATGTAATGATAACTTTTCTCGGCCTTCGTCATAATGTGTCGATGATTGGGATGTCATGAGAGTATCAAGAATGCACATGAAACAGCTCATCTCTGGTTTCCCTTCAATGAGTGACAATATTTCTTGCTACATTTGATTTTGTTGTTCATTCAAGCAGCAACCTCCTCCTCCTAGTGATACTAATAGTACTACTGTACAGCAGCAAGAAGTGCTGGTTGGTTTTAGAAGCGAATGCTGAACCACCACCAGCACAGATTGGTTGATTCCCCAAAACCTACTCTGGGATTCAATACTTGTGGGAATGAAATGACATTGTGAGAATAGATATACAATGCAAGCATTCTGTATCATTTTGTGGAGCAAGGAATGATTGAATATACTAATTTGAAGCATATTGGTGTTCAGTGCTAATCATCACTACTACTAGGAAAGTCATTTTTGGCCCTTATTACTAAAACAAGATATCAGTCCAGGATTTGATTGCTAGGAATATGTCTCAAAGGTCTTGAACTCTGGAACTACTACTAGAGAGGGAGGAGATAGTGTTTTCATTTTTTCAAGTGGTATTCAAAGCATTGTAGACATATTTTGATATGCAACAGTGCCCATTTCATGAACTAGGGAATTGAATTTTGKTCTAAATTACTAGTAGTATTATATCCCAAATTCTGAACCAATAAGATTCAGAATTTTTCATTATTTGATTCTAAGAAACCTATCTTCATTGTGAGTGCTTGTTCTGTACTTTAAATCCATAAATATTTGATTCTCAAACTAGTTGATTACTAGTCATCATCAGTAATTTAATTGGAAGCTACTAGCTAGTAGKTTTCAAATATTTTGATTGCACAGACCCAACTATGCTTCATTCTCAACAGGTAAGTAGTAATTTGAAACCACCTTGTTGAAAATGGGGAGCAAACAAATTGACGATGGAATAATGAGATCAGTGATGGGAGCCCAATTGATTAGTTGTTGCTGAACAGGAATCAATAGTAGTAGTCAATAGATCTATAGTAATCATATTATTGCATCAAGAAGAACAAGAAGTCCRATGTATCCTATGTTTCTTATGTTATTTCCTTTGGAGACATTGCTAGTCATCATACTGGTACTGCCTACTGGTAATTCTTGTCTGAATTGATTCTGTATTTCTGCTCCTTCTGTGCTAGTACTACTACCACTACTACTAGTACCAGAGGCCTTCTCTCATATGAGGTCCTCAAGACAAGTTTGTTTTGTTTGACAAAAACATCACCCAGCAGTACTGCTACTACTAGTACTACTAGTATTGGCTACTGAGAACTGCTGCTTACTAMTACAGCACACCCCCTTTGAGAAACCATTTCAGAAATGTTCCACCACAATGATATCCAGTGGAGATTACATGCAATCTTGGTAGACAAAAGCAAAAAAGGCTACTGCTCCTAGTTGTAACAAGGTCTGTACTACCACCAAATGTAACAAGAAGGTCTGTACTACCACCATAGTATTCTTCTTACAGTCACCAGCCAGTACTATGTCATTTAGGCTGGCCTACTACKAGTGTCTCTTTTAGTTTCATGAGGTTGAAACATAATATCAAGTTTTTTGTCAACAATTCAGAGCCAGAACACATTTTTCTGGACCACTTCCCAATTTACTAATGTGAAATAGCATCAACAGTCAGTTTCAATACTTCAGAATCCGTGTTTATTGACATATATTTGGTTCTGCTGATATGGAGATTTTGAGAAACTGAGAGAAAATTCTTCACTACTGAGTACTGACCACCAACACTAGAATCAGTACTTGTATGTCCAAAGGATTTTGTTGTTGTGTAGTAGTACTTTTTGGGATAGAYATGGGAGGAGGTCTTCAACAGGATTTTTCAACTTGGTTGAAAAAGAGAAGAAAAAGACTACTAAGAGATAGAGGTGGGACCTTCATAACCTAAAAAGAAGTTGTTCTACTATCTGTGCTATTTCATATGTTTTGAATCAATTAGTAATTGGTGGCTGATGATGATGATGATAAATAACAATCACAAAGTAAGCAGAATGTTTTCCCAAACAGACAGCAGCTATTTGGGGCTTTGAGTTCTCTAATTTCTTTCTGTTCCCCTTTCCTCTTTCTTTTCCTCCCTTTGACCTGTTCTTCTAGAGGAAGTTAACACTACTACTACTACTACTACTACTACTACTACTACTACTACTACTACTACTACTACTACTACTANACTACTACTACTACTACTACTACTACTACTACTACTACTACTACTACTACTACTACTACTACTAGGAGTGTGTCTGGTAGTTTTAGTACTGTTGTTGTTGGTAGTAGTAGTAGTAGTAGTCCTAGTAGTATGGTGATCAAAAGAAGGATGATGTTGAAACATGACAACTCAGGGGGCTACTAAAAAGAATAAATTATGAAGAGTTTTTGGCAATTGGCCATGGTGCACTTTGCCCAGAAGTTCTGGTGACAAAGTTGAACAAAGTACTGCTAGTAGAAGAATTGGCCTTGACTTTAACAAAAGCATGGTTTGTTTTCTTACAAAGTGTGTGTCCTGGTGGTCATGCCTCTTCAGAAGTGTCACCTTTGGAACTACTACTAGGATCATCCTTCACCACCCTACTTCAAGTGATGGTTTAGCCTACCTAGTACTAGTAGTAGTGCCTCTAGTATGATTGTACAAAAAGCATCAATGATCATCAGGCTCTCTGTGATAGTCATCATGTCTATCAGATAAACAGAGCAGAGAGCAAATRCAAGCAATTCTTTTTGCTGAACAAAAGAGCAGAAGTACATGATGACCAAATTGAATCTGAAAACAGCCAATCACAAACAAGTACCCAAACAAAGTCTTGCACTGAAATTGATGTGGTATTAGTGAGAATTTCTACTACTAATAAATCACTGGAACACCAATCTAATGGCGGAAGGGGGAAAAGTATTCTCTACAAATAATGATAACAATGTTAATGATACTACTTAAGAAGAAGTCAGTCCATGTATGGTCCAAAAACTCTCTACTACTAGAACAACTTACTATACAAAAACCTTTTAGAGGTGCTGGATGCTGCTCTCAAGCTAGTAGAAAGTTGTTAGTAGTCTATGTTCCTTTGGTGGTGAACTTGAGACAGATTTTGTTGACAATATTGTTGGCGTGATGTTGTACTATGATTCAGGTTAAATTAAGTTCACAGACAGATAAAATAAACTACAAATTAACACTTCAATTGTCACATACTATCAGCAAGAAAGTTCACACAAATGTGGAAGAGCACTACCAAAACCACCCCCAATGCTGTAGTACTACCAGACTCAAGTTTAATGCTGAATCAATTGTAATTGCACTTCACAACACACATTCAGGTATCACTGGTTCCTCCTCTGCACTAGATGATGGACAAAATCACTCCAAAAACACAAAGCAAACCAAGCTACTACTAGTAGCACAAAGTTTCCTTTTGTATATGTTTTGTTGTACCACTAGTATTATTCTCAATTTTTTTTGATGTCATTACCCCACAACAAGTAACCCATGATGTCAAAGCTAGCTAGTACTAGTATACAAAGAAAACTAATGTTTTAGAAGCTTGGGGATATCACACACTATGCAAAGTTGAATTCTCAAATGTCATGGACCAAGAAAATGCAATTAACCAGCAGATTGTTGCTGTTTTTTATTTAAAACTAATAATCTGTCCATTCATCTGCTGATCAATGAAGAAATGAGACCCCAGAGGAAGAGTAGTAACTGCCAGCACAACAAAAATACAAGTTCTCAAAAGAGCACGTCATATGTTTTCTCTCAGGGGCTTGTCTGCTGGTGGCAATAGAAAATAAAAAAATCCATTCTGTTCAGTGTCATTGTAAAATGATGTACAAAGCATTACTGGGAGTGAAATTTTCCAAGAAAACTCTTGCTGGTATAGCCATGGCTGGAACAGCAGCAGAATTAAAACAAAAAACTGAATATTGCATTTTCTCTGTGAACTACTAGTAGAAGGTGCACAAGTAAACCAGAACTGCTTCTACTAGTTGCAGCAACGGACAGTGCTCCAAACTTAGTGCAACTGGGGCAATACTAATGTACTGGGTAGGCTAGTAGAWCAATGATTGGAAGAATAGTAGCTAGGTCAGTGTGACAATGCTTTGTTTTTTTGTGTTGTCACTTCTTGAAGTATCCAGCACYAGTGTCAAAGACTAGCCCATCTTGTGTTACCTTCTCTGGTTTTGGATGTTTGTTACAATAAGTACTGAGTCATAGGATTGGTGRTAGTATTGGAAGTTGAGGTATGTAGTAATACTACTAAGAATAGGATGGTTCTTGAAAGAAAGGCATGTTGAAATAATCAATTCTTCAAGGGTGACAAAATGATCTTCCTTTACAAATGATGAAGTGCTTACCAGCAGTAGTAGCCATGTGACATACATCAACAAAAATACAGAGAAGTGTGTAATAAATTGTTGTGGAATGGTTTCTGAGTATTTCAAAACAGCACCACACCACATGGCACCAGCACATTGTTAGATCACATCATTGTAATCAAAGTTCAATTCCCAAACTTTAGATTAATAGAACAGGAAAAGACAGAGGCATGCTGATATTATTGGAAGTAAGATTGGGCCTTCCAAAAGAATAGCAGATCTAGTAATTCCTTAAAAAAAGAACAACAACAATGAGTTGGAAGATCACACCCTGTCACCATGTTGATAAAATGACATATATATTTTGAAACCCGCTACTACCATGCATATGTTCAAGTCTATGGAAGTAATAAAATGGCAAATTATCAATATTGGCAGATTTTTTTGCTAGTATACTAGATTCTGAGCAAAAAGGTTGAGGCTGTTGCTGTTGCTGTTGCTGTTGCTGTTGCTGTTGCTGTTGCTGTTGCTGTTGCTGTTGCTGTTGCTGGTGGTGCTGCTGGTCAGGAGCAATGCAACAGAAGAGGAACTACCATTCAAGCGGTGAGCAACGAGAGGTCAATTGCTGCAACCTTACAGTCGTCTCCTTCTTCTCGTCTTAGACCACGATGGACCCACGAAGAGTTTCCCCAGCACTTTCCATGGCACCACTGAGCATCAAGTTGGACAGCAGGGCCCACGATCGGGGGTAGTAGCTCTCCGGCAAAGATTCCGCGAGCCTTTGCCCCGCCGCATCCACCATGGATTGCGCATTGGCAATGTCCGAAGACGATGCAATGAGGGCGGAGAATGTTGGTCCATAAATGAAAGCGTTATACCTCCAACTTCCGAACATGGTTGTGTCTTGGCTTGCCCCGGGAGCCCGGCAACTGGGAAATGCATCCGAAGACCATGCACTGCTAGTGTCAAAGTCGCTGTCCAATCTCCAATTGAATCGACTCAGAAAAGGGGACCATTCGCTGCTCATTTGCGGGTAAAAGGCAGCATCCAAAGCCACTCGGAAGGTTGATCGTGCCGCTTCTGCTCCGTATTCAGACTGGACAACAAAGAGGGGAGGACGAACATGCAAGCGAATAAACGAATCAAAGGAACGAATAGTCGAACGAATCAAAGAAAGCCGCCGCGTTAGAACGATTTTTGGAAGCGTGATACACAGAATCTTTCGCGGTGCGTTGTTACGCATCGAGTWGTTCAGCATATTTAGCGGAGACTTGTTGTTCCAAATTCGTACCTGTGGAGTCCCGCTTCCAGAAAATCTTTCACCGGTATTGACAATGTTTCCGTTGCCGTCCGTGCCAATCGTTGCCCAGTTTGGAACCAGCGCCCCATYGCCCGAGCACTGGACCGTGTGCAAAACTTCATAGGAGGTAGCAATCAGCTTGTCCCATTCGCCAGGCGGGATCCCTTCGTAACCAACGCGGTCGGAATCGGGAAAGGTCGCCTGATAATCTTTCATGACACGATAGGAGCCGGGCGAATGGTAGCTCGGATTGTTGCCGCTCCCTTCCCAGCCCCCCCAGCACGCACCCAGCTTGACCAAGCGGTGGTCTCCACGGGAGGAGTCAACGTTGTAGCGGAAAAAGGCTGTGGCAGAGGCGTCCGCCCATCGGCGAGCCTCCTCGTACCACCCCGGTTTGGTGTCGTCTCCTTCCAGGGCCTTGACAGCCAGAATAATGCCCACGATAGCATCCTCGTCGGCATCGGGCGCTGGCCCAGTAGATTCACTGCCACCGCTCTTCAGGTGTCTCCAATCGGGAAGGCAGACACTTGAAGATCCTGTCGACTCGTCCTTACAGAAATGCCCACCAGACTGGCAATTGGCAGAGCCGCTGGACGAATTTCTGCACATTTCCTTCCAAAAATTGTAGTAGCCTTCAAATGCTATAATAACATCCGAGCGGTTGGCACCGTTGACTCTTCCTGCATGAGATTCCCAGCTTACGAGGACTACTCCGGTAATCAGAAGTGCATATGCTTGACTCTCGCTAACAACCAGATTTCCAGATCCAGCAGCCCCACCGCTGCGAAAGGCAGGATTAGAGATACAGGAACAGAAACAAAAAATTGACTTAGAGAAAAAAGAAAGCGATTCAAATAAACACAGGCTTGAGAATATTGATAAAGATCGAATATAATTTATACACTTACGATGCAACCAAGGCATAATTTGGAGGGCTCTGGGAATTGACATGGGTCATAAATTCCAGTCCAAGGTRCACATCCCATGCATTCAAGGCCTTATCCGTGCTCAAAAGCACTCCTGAAGGCGATGGTGACGGTCGGATTTGCGGAGATCCAACAGGATCAATGTCTTCAATTGGTGCACCAGTAGGGTACGGATTGCTGCATATGTTCGGATTGCAATTGCCACATTCCGAAGGAAATTCTTCGCCTGCCACTAATTTGCAGGCGCTACTTTCGGATTTGCCCATGTTCGCAATCACCCAATCGATGCGGGAACCACAAGAGTGTCCGCCTGCCAAAGTAGCGAGAACTTCTTGTGTGCACGACGAACACCCACACCTTGGCCGATCGACCGGCTGAGCAACAAAAGGCGCGGCGACGGGTGGAACTGCAGGCATAACAGTTGGTGAGACTGTAGGCCGCACCACCGGTGCAATGGGGGCAGTGGAAGGTACCATGGGAGCAATTGGACTATTGTTTGTACCGGGCAAACATTGCCAAAAATATTCGCTCTGTTCTGTACACACGAGGCCATCACAGCAGCTGTTTATGTTTCCAGTGCACCCCGACCCTATTAGAAAATAACTTCTTATAAGTTTATATTATTGAAGAAACAACCATACGAATATCAAGACACGATGGATTCGATTTAAACTTACACCGGGCTTGGCAATTAAAACGTGCTCCGTCCGGCAAGAAAATGAAGGCGTCGCCGCCGCAATTTTCGCACTCGCTCCGAGAATTCCCGCACCAACCTGCATCACATTGTTTGTAGTTCATGGAGCAACATCCAGCACACGAATTTCTTATCAACGAAAGCAGGAGGATCGACAGGATTCTCAAATAGCGATTCATTTCAACAAAATTGAAAATCATTACTGTATTTTGWCAACTTTGTTTCACAAGAAAATCAAAAGCGTTTGAAATTTCATAGAGATTCAAAGATAATATGCTTAATTTGCATTTCTGATCTGTAAAAGATTCAATTTTAAAATTTTGATGGAAAAACGCAGTTTCAATTTCTTCTGCTTCTATTTTGTACTCGACTCTTCACAGAAATCTTTGCGCACAAAAAATACTGTTTGGGAAAGTACCGTAGCCTACGTACGGTAGTAGACCTCGTTTCATGATCTGGAAGGCAAGTCGTGTCTCAAAACGGGTACTGAAAAATGAGACGCCACGATCACATCAAGATGCATCACTCCACTTTTTTAGAATACTTTTTTACCGGACAAAAAGATTCACGAGTTACTATGACTTCGCCTTGATTCAATGCCTGCACGGAACATCAATTAGGGAAAGTACAAGACATAACGAGAGGCTGATTGATTTCTCGTTTCCTCCCACATGTCGCCGCTGAGTTGATCGTGATTCAATAGTAGGCTAATATTTTTTATTCCACAAGATTGATGAGTATGCTTCGGGTGACAGATTTCTCAACCAATATGACCCTCCGCCGTTGAGTGATGRTTCGTGTTTGCAACCGGAGGATCAAATGAATTTTCATCCCAAGAATGATGCTCCTCGAGAAGCATATTTCATGGTTTATTGGTGAGTAATACGACGTACCCTTTCAAGAATTTCTTGACGCGTACGAGTGTCCGAAGGCTCTCGATTTCCAAGCTTCTGAAGAGGAGAGACGTCGTCACGCTGAGACGTTTCCAACAAGACATCGATGCATGCCAACAGTTATGACTTACCTAATCCTCCTRAGATCAAAATTATGTACATGAAAAGAGTCATTTATTTCAGTATTCACCATGAGCCTACTGCAAAATTGCACAAATACCTTGCAAATGATAATCAATAGGGAAATATAGACTCAAGTCTGGGTCCTAAAGGACAAGAGGAGGTGAATTGAATGATAATTAGACAAAACGCACTACTAGTGTCATCCTTCAGGCAATGACACAAATGCAGGCTATTGATATTACCCAATGAAATTCATAGTTTTTCTGAACACATTCAGTTCATTCAAACAAGAACTAGTAGTTTTCCAGCAGTAGGAAAATCAAAAGGACAAGAGAGCAACAAGCAAGAAGAAGAATGAACAAAAGAAGTTTCAAAATTCATTGCAGGCAGGGTAGTAGAGTCATGTATTTTATTGCATTTCAAAACTGTCTAGCTAGCAGTAGTACATGAACTTGCAATGTGCTGTTGGGGTAGTAGTTTTTCAAATCTTCTTATTGACAACAGCAGTTTATCATTGGTGCAGTGGTTGGCTGGTTTTGTTCTACTAGTAGTAAAAAGCTTGTTGTAAGTTGTAATCATCACCATGTTTTGCCAAATCATTGCTGACAAATTGTCTGGTTGCCTTGGTTCACATCTAGATAATGTCACAGTACTAACAACCATTTTAAAATCATCATTTTTCTTCCTCATAACCACCATGCTGCTGATGACAAGCATTCCTTCTTGTTGTGGCAGTACTTTTCCTCACCAGTGCTGATTCTTTCTTCTTCCAGTTGAACAATTGGGTGCTATGATGTAGTATGAGTGATATCTTGTAGTTGCAGTAGTGTCAATAGAACAAGAACAAGAAGAAAGGAGGCAGTAACAACAAGGTTCTCAAGAAATTCCAAAGAAAAGGATATTTCTTTGTGATTTTTCTAACAACTTGTAATCTCCCTTGTTTTACCACAACTAAATTGTTGTGGCACTTGTATTAGAGTTAAACACCATTTGTAGTAGTGCTAGCAGTACTACTACTAGTACTATTAGAACTAGGTAGTACTAGTAGTACGAATCTGGTGGTCTGACCATCTGACCACGATGGCGCGCGCATTTATGGCAACACCACACATTTTTTGCTTTTTCATGTCAGAAATCGGAAGAAGAAATTGACATCGTTCTGCTGAGTGTACGGTACGTACGGATAAAATAGTTACTGTGATGCATGCTACTACGAAGTCACCTTCCAAGATGCTCTCTCTCTTCTGAATCTCTCCTTGCGATACGGGAAGGATTTGCTCACAAAGGAAGACATAGGAGTAAGGCATGACAGCACCGGTATTGTTAAGCACATATCCGGCCTCGTCGAGTGGGAGAGTAACATGACTGACTCTGTCCCCATCCCGAATACCAACTCGGCTGCGAGAGAGAAAGTGGTTGTAACGGAAGACGAAGCGGCGCCGTCAGCTCTACAAGCACCAGCAGCGATCGGGGAGGGAAGCGGCTCAGTACCAACCCCGTCCACAACGCCTTCCGCCACGAAAAAGAAGGTCCGTCGAATCGTTCGCAAGAAAGGCTCCGCAAGGGGCAAAAACAAAAAGGACGATGATTCCGACGTGGTCAATCCTATCCTTTTGGAAAAGGTGATGAACGAATCGAATCTACCAAAGGCGTACTCGTTCGAGGTTGTTAAAACCCTCAAGCGGATCAACCAGATCTTGCAGGGCAAAAAGGAACAGCAGAGAAAGAAGGGATCAGGAGAAACGGTTTCTTCTACGAAGGATTCTCCAAGTGTTCACGTTGCCCTCCAGATGCCGGAGGGTTTGTTGCTGTACGCAACGGTTCTTTCGGATGTTTTGCAGCGATTGGTTGCGGCAACCAACGAGGGGCCGGCCGAGACTGCTACCGAGGACCAGCAGCCCCTGCTCCGGGTTTCGGTTCTTGGTGACGTGACATACGGTGCCTGCTGCGTTGACGATTTGGGCGCACAGGCACTGGGATGCGATCTCCTCGTCCACTACGGGCATTCTTGTCTGGTTCCCATTCAGCACACAGTAGTTCCTTGCCTTTACGTGTTTGTGGAAATCACCATTGACGTCAAGCACCTGGTGGAGTGCTTTCACAAAACCATCCTCGAAAATCCCTCTCTGATGGATGGCAGCGGTAGAAAACCCCACGTCTATTTGCTGGGAACGATTCAGTTTCGCCACGCCCTCATGGAAGCCAGGCGGTTGCTTCGGTCCGAACCCTACGAATACGAGCTCTCGATTCCGCAGGCAAAACCCTTGTCTCCCGGGGAAGTCCTTGGGTGCACGTCGCCCGCTCTGGCGAACCAGCGGGCTTCCGAGGAAAGCAATCCGAACGCTGTCGTCTTGTTTGTGGCCGACGGGCGCTTTCACCTGGAATCGACCATGATCTCCAACCCGCACATTGCGAAATTCTACCGCTACGATCCATACCCTAAGACCCTCACGGAAGAATCCTACGACCACGTCAGAATGAAGAGCATGCGGTACGAGGCCATCCAAAAAGCCCGCCTCCGGATCCAGAGCAAGAAAGAAGAGCAGCCCCAGGGTACCGCCGTATTTGGAATCATCCTGGGAACCCTGGGCCGGCAGGGAAACCCGGCCCTCCTGACGAAGATCCAAACGCAGCTCCGCCGGAAGAATCTCCGGAGCTTTGTCATTCTGGCCTCGGAGATCACCCCCTCCAAGCTGGCCCTCTTTCGGAAAAAGGTGGACGCCTGGGTGCAGATCGCCTGCCCGCGCCTGAGCGTCGACTGGGGGCACGCCCTCAGCGGCGACGCGAGCATCCCGGTGCTGAATCCCTACGAGCTCTTTGTCTGCCTGGACCAGGCCCACTGGAGGGGCGGGGACGACCAGTCCTACCCGATGGACTACTACAGCCAGGAAGGAGGGCCGTGGAGCAACTACCACGACGTGGACAACAAGGGCCGCGAGCTGACTCTTCCAGAGCCGGTCACGGCAGAAGTTGCGGCCGGGGTGTGAGTCGACGGACTTGCTACGAGCGAACGAGCGAGCACATTGTTTGGAGTTCTCGGGTGCCCCGCCACGCCATGCAATGCAGAGGAAGGCAAATCCGCGCAACTCAACTCGTGCCTGGGAAGCAGCAGAGTGTGTGACTACCGAGGTATGTCGAACCGAAACGCAACTTTTGTTTGGTTTTTGCTTTTTTGTGATCGCGAGAGGTCTGCCTCCGAGAAAACAGATTCCGTTGGGCTTCCCTTCCTGTTGTTTCGTTCGATCGTGTTCTGTTGTTTGATCACTCCGCTGTGTTTCGGTTTTGGCTTGTGCGTGAACTCATTCGAGGCTACCCAGCACACCATGGGTTTTCTCATCCATATTCGCGCAAGAGGAACTACTTTGTATTTCCATGTTTCACTTTGTCCATCCATGTTTTTCGATCAAGAAAGTCTTTTTCTTTTTCACCCCGTCGTGTTTGGATCATTTCATTGGGAACAATTCTAAGTTGTGTCGCTATTGTATGTTACAGAACGGTACTGAGAGACGATGGAAACTCACACGCATGAATTATCACTGTCTTCTTTTCTCTGGCTGGCGGTTTAGTTTGCTCTTTGCAAGACGTAGGGAACGAACGAGAGAAGAAGCGAACGGTCGAAGTAACCAACCGACAGGGTGCATCCGGATACGTGCCAAAAAGCACGTCCACTGCAACCAGCACCTCGTGCTGAATGRCATGCATGCTTCGTTCTCGGAGACACATTCCTCTGGCCGAAACAATCCCAGCGAGCGAGGCTACGAAAATCTCTTTTAGGTATCGCATCGAAAGGAGGAAACACAGACGACGACGATGACGACCCATCTCGGCGTGGAAAGACAAACAAAGCTCGCTATTGTTTCGCGAAAGGATGCGAATTGCTAAGATTAACGCGCAGTATCGCCGTGCTATTCGATATTCGTACTATAAACAATCCTTTGCACTTCCCCTACTACTTCTAGTACTGTTGATTCTTATTGTTGAGTTTTCCAATAACAATGTAGACACAACTTTGCAGCAATGCAGTTATTCCTTCTTCGATCTTCGAAGCATGGCCGGTCTTACCGTGCCGAGTATAATGAGTTGTCGAACCAGAAACTATTTTGAAAGACAAGGGTGACAACTGCTAGGAGTAAAAAATAGTAGTGCTGAATTTGTAAAACCTCTCATGACTGTAGTAGGAGCAATTCGCACAGGTACATTCCTACTTTCTTTTCCTCGTACGAGCTACGAGTACTACCGACTACGGCACCGATCACGTAACACTCGTAACTCGTACAAGTACGTACGTACGGTAGGTCGTACCTCATTTGGGTTTGTTCTTTTTTCATAAAATTACATACATATGTATGATAAATATGTAATAAGTCTAGTAACTTACGAATGGCGTCGTTTCCAACCCTCGGACTACGTACTAAGTACGTAGGTACGTACGCACGTACCCGTACCCGGCGTTTGTGCTATGGTCCACGGTCGGAAACGCGTGCTCGATTCCTTTCTCAAAMGCAAGCGCGCGGATTTCAAAACTCCAACGCCGGGCGACCCTTCTCCGTGGTAAAACCATACATCCATCGTTTTTGAATTATTTTTTGGGTTCCTTGGCCCCGGCGGGTGAGAAGAAGATATTTTTTGGATGGAAGCATCCTGCTCCCACCGTCTAGTTGCATTACAGTACGGTACTTGTACTTTACTGTAATAAAGATTGTTCTTTCTGCGATACTACCCCCATTGGCTCGTTTCCCTTTCTTTGTTGCCACATCACAAGCATCGGAGATTCGGCGCGATCCTACTTGCTTTCCCCCCTTCGAGGCTGTCACAAGGGTTTTGAAATACAAAAAACGTCACACCGTATTTACTCGTAGGGTACAACAAACAACAATACCGTAATATTCAATCAATCCAAGCTGAACGGTGCACGTACCGGTAGGCATTCCCATTCCTTGCAGCACGTACCGTACTCGTACTCGTAATCGCACGCTACCAAATCCGTGATAATCACAATCGAACCAGCCTCTTGCTTCCATATTGCGGCAGCCTTCTGTACGTACTCGTCGYACTTGCAAGGATCCATTGACCAGCAATTTTGATTGATTGATTGATTGATTGATCGATCGACCGATTCATTCCATCCATTTCCTCTCGACAGGAAAACCAGCACCAGAACTAGCACCAGAACCAATCCATCCATCCACCCACACACCATGAATTCCGCACTCGATCGGTGGGGAGCTTCCCCGTCTCCCTTACACGAGAACGACAAGGAGAACCTCCGCAAGGCATCCAGAGGGAATGATTCCAAGAAGAAAAAGAAAGAAAAGAAGGCCCGGCAACCCATGCAACCCCAGCAGCAGGCGCAGGGTACGCAGAACCTCAAACCGCTGCGAGCGAATGCTCCCGCCGGAATCGGCAAGAAGACCTCCGGGAGCACCAGCAGCGGTGCCAGCCACGACGGAAGCAGCAGCATGGGGAGCCGGAGGCAGAGCGGCCCCGCGGCCAGGGCTCTCGGCGGTGCGGGGCTGAGCTCCGAGACAGAGGCCTCCCCCCCGGTCGACAGCGTCTTCCGCGATCCCGCGGCCGAGCTGGAGATGAACGAGGTCTCTACGATGGCCGGGGACACCTACGCCGGGGTGGAAATGGACGCCCGGGTGGCGGAGGCCGTCCCGCCCTTTGGCGTTTCCGGAGCGGCGGCGAGCGGGCCCCCCGAGATGTTTGTCACCCCCACCAACCGGGACGACACCGACGAATACGGATACGAGGACCTGTACGGATACAGCGAGGATCGGGGCAAGAAACCGGAACACTTTCGCTTCGACGAGCGCATCGAGACCATCAGCCCGGTATCCACCCAGCCGGAGACACCYGAGAAGGACGGCGACATCGAAGGCGGCAACGAAGAGTGCGTTCCGCCCCTCTGCGAGGACAAGGAATTCTCCCCCAAGAAGCAAAGGCGGTGGCGGTGCATCATTTGCGCCGGGTGCTGGCTGGCCTTTTTCTTGGTGGTGGGCATTTCCATGCTCGGGTACACCCTCTACGCGGTCCGCAACGAGGACAAGGGTGCCCTGTCCCTCTTCAGCAAGGAATTCTGGGTCCGTGCCGGCGACGAAATCCAGGACGCCCTCTTTTTCTGGCAGGACGACGAGGACGAGAACGAGAAGACAATGGCCCCAACGCAGGACTTTTGGTTCGACGCAACGGAGACCTCCACCTCCTTCCCGGGCACCGAGTGGCCCACGATGCCCCCCTCGACGGTCAGGGACGCGATCGAAGCGGTCGTCCTCTCGGCAGCGGTCGACAGGGGGATCGCCAGCATCGTCGGGGCCGCCATGAGCGATCCTTMCTCGGTCCACTACTCCGTCGTGGACTGGCTCGCAAACGATCCCAACCTCGAGTCCTACCCCGACGAGAAAATCGTCCAGCGGTACGCCCTGGCGTGCTTCTACGAGCGCCTGGTCGGGGACAACGGCAACGACGCCGAAAGTCCCGTCGCCCCGGCGGTGCGGGACACCTGGGGGACCTACGGAGACGAGTGCACCACCTGGGCCAGCACCGAGCGGGCCAACAGCAACAACAACAACAACAGCGGTTCCACCAAGCAAACGTGCGACAGCGACGGGCTCGTGCGATCGATTCACCTGGAAAGCGTCGGCCTCGACGGCACGCTGTCCCCGGAACTGGCCCTGCTCTCCGAGTCTCTTGGTACGTACCGGCATTAAAATCGAACCGATGCGAGGTGACGTGACGCGACGCTACGCTGTGCGGCACCGCAATGCGCAGAAATCGAATACTCGCTGTGTTTTAGGGTGTTCCATTTCCTCCCTGCCGGCTCACTCTTCYGTTTCTTTTGGCTCGTTGTCACAGAATCCATCTACCTCACCAAAAACAGCATCCACGGGACCATTCCTTCCGCCTGGGGCAAGCTGACCAACCTCAAACGCCTGCAGCTGTCGAAGAACAACATCGAAGGAAGCCTCAACGGCCCCGAACTGATCGGGAATCTCGACCGGCTYGAAATCATCGGCCTCGGAAACAATCGGCTGACCGGGACGCTCCCGGAAGAGCTCGGATCCCTGCCCAGCCTCTTCTACCTCAACCTTCCCAGCAACGGCTTTACCGGAAGCATCCCGTCCTTTGCCAACGCCTCGGGGGTCCTCGGCCACGTGTCTTTCAGATCCAACGCCCTGACCGGAAGCGTTCCGGAGGAGCTGGCGCTCCTCGAATCCCTCGACGCGCTCTTCCTGGAAGACAACGACCTGGAGGGGCTGGTTCCCGAATCGGTCTGCGCCGGGGACGCCACCCACAACGGCATGAACATGGTGGTCGATTGCGRCTCCGTGGGTTGTTCCTGTTGCAAGGGATGCGCCGTCTTTTACGCCAACAACAACGTCTCCATGGACAGCTTCCGGGAGGCAGAAAGACCCTCTGCACCCGCATCCAACGCAACCACCGTCCGGGAAGACCCCATCGATCTTGCGTTGAACTCCACCGCAGCCCCCGTCGATGYCGCCACGGTTGCGGACGGCGCAACGGCCGAAGAAGCGTCCGACGCAGCATCCAATGCAACAGTTGATGCAATGGTCGACGCAACAGTCGACGCAACATCTGATGCAGCAGCCGACGATACAGTCGACGTAACAGTCGACGTAACATCTGAGGCAGCAGCCGACGAAGCATCCGATGCAACAGCCGATGCAACAGCCAACCCAGTATCCGATGTAACAGTCGACGAAACATCTGAGGTAACAACCGACGCAGCAGCCGACGCAACAGCAGAAGAATCGATGGTAGCAGAGGTCCCAACCGACGAGGCCGACAAAGCCACTAATTCCTCCGCTCCCGAAACCGGCAACTGCGAGTCCATCGAGGTAGGATTCCCCTGCTACAATCCCGGATGGTCCATCGATTTTGAGCTTTCCCACGGMGGCTGTGGCATTCTACCCACCGAGGAATACGACTTTGTGGCGGTGTACCTATCTGGCCGTGAAGACACCGCCATTGGCACCAAGAGCGATCTCGGCGACGCCCTGTTCTGGGCCAGCTCGTGCGGTCTCCCGGCCTGCGACGGGGTCATTGCCAACGGCCAGATGTACTACCGCAACACCTATCCCAGCACAACGGCACCCCTCGACGGCAATCCCTGGTGGCCAATCTCCGCCGGGAGCATGATGCGCCTGAGGTGGCTCCGTTCGGACGAAACCGCGACCGGTGGAAACACTACGGGCATTGTCGTCGCAGAGAGCTTGCCCTTTGTCGTTGCCGATGGCTGTCAGTAACCAAAAAAGCAGGTGCGGTGTCTTCCGCCCTATCAGTTGTATGAATAGAAGGAAACAAGAAACGAACCGAACAGAACCAAAATCAATGTAACAATTCACTCGGTGCACACGCACACACCCACGTTCTCCCGCCAGTCCCCTTCGAATAGAAGACGAAAGACATCAGCATTTTATTGCACAGACCAAGTTACTTCTTTGTGCCTGCGGAGGATCGCATCATAAAAGAAGAAATGAGAGGCTTTTCCCGTCCTAAACCCTTGTGTCGAAATAATATGAAAACGCCGAGAGCATTTTTGTATCGCAGCGGAAGAATACTATCATTCCATAGCAGGAAATTCATTTCATAACTAATATTAAATATTACGTCTCCACAATGATGTTATTAGCAGATATTCTCGTTGCAGAAATCATCGTGGGAAGTCATTCTTTCCTTCCCAGTTGTTGTATCCTTGACTGAAGCAGGTTGGCATCGACAAAACGGATGATAAATAGACGTGTCTTTTTCCTACTACCACTAATGAAGGGGCGATATTTGTATTTAGGTAGATTGTTTCTTCTATATTGTATTAGCTAGCCGTACGAATGCTTTTTAAGAACAGAAAAGAACGACAAAGCGTTGACTGAGAACGAGGGACTCTACGGGTGCGAGGACTTTTGCAACAGCCAGAACAACGTCTAGCAGTACGGAATCCATAAAAAGCAAAAATCCATTAGGCCAGGGTTTCGGTTCACCATGCAAGATCCATGGAGCCTTTGCCATTCGTTGAACAAGCGTCGCATCCATCCATCCAAAATAATCGAGAAAGGGTCAAACACGCCGATGCCAACGGATGTCTTTATCGCCAACAGCCACCAACCCGTTCTTCTAGGGACACTATGGGAAAGAATGGGATCGTTGAAGCCATAAGTCKGTTTCGTGCTTGGAATTCACATCAGATGGAATATTTTGCAGTGTTTTCTCTGGCTGTTTTCGACGCGCATGTTTTTTCGACGCATTGCAATCGGATTTGTAGCTCGTTTCTTCTGATTGGGAGTGATTGGTCGCGTTCTGTTCTCTGGTYCTTTGTTTTATTCGTTGTCGTCGTCGCTTTCGTCCCATTCGCCGTCGTCGTTGTCGACGATCCCCAGGGCCATGCGCTGCTCCTCGGGGGTCGCGGAGGGAGGCACGGAAGGCCGAAGCCCCCCGGAAACAGCCCCGCGGGGGGCGATCCTGGACAATCGTGCGGTGGAGCCGCTGTTCCGGCCGGTGGGACGCGGCCCTCCGGCGGGCCTCGAAGCGGGAAATGGCCCTTGGCGAAAGCCCGTTCCGTCGGCGGAGTCGTCGTCGTCTTCGGCATCGTCTTCGTCACCGGGGTCCTCGGTAGGATCAAAGGACGGGGGCAGCCTCCCAAAGTAGTTCTTCCAGCCGTCTACGATGAACCGGTGCTCCTCCCGGACGTATCGAAAGTGTCTTTCGCGGTCTTTGCTGCCGGGTTCCATCGGCAGGGCCCCCAATATCATGGCCAGGATCCGGTCCAGCAGGGAAAGGCCGCTTTCTCCCTCGCTGCTCTCTTCCCCGCTCACTCCGTTCGTCGCGGCCTCTTCCGCTTCTTGCTCGGCTTTTTCCTCGGCTGCCCATACCTCGTCCTGGAGGCTCTCCAGGAGCGCCTCGACGTCTGCCACCTTTTTCTCCAGTGCCTCGAGCAGGGTCTGCGCCAGCACCAGTTCTCTCGTGGTGTGCCGGGTCTCGATGTTATGCTGGTGCTTGTTGCGCTGCTCCAGGGCCTCCCTGCGGCGGGCCTCTCTCAGTTCCCTCCGTTGGAGGGCCCTGGCTTTCTTCTTTCGGCGCTCCCGGTTCTTGCGCAGAAAGGGCTTTGGGATGGTGCTTCCCGCAAAGGGTGCAGCTGCGATCGCCCCGGGGCCGTCAAAGGCGGCGGAAACGCCTGGAGAAGTCGCAGCGGTCTCGTCCGCGGCTGCATCCTCGGTGGTGGAACCGGGGAGGGGATGCTCTGGCGTGGTCCTCGTTGGGGACGGCTTCGCGTCGGCTTGGTCGTCCTCGTTGTCGTGTTCGTCCTCGTCGCCTCCCGCATAGTCATCGTCCTGGCTGTAGTCGTCCTCGTCGCTGTAGCCATCGCTGTAGTCGCTGCGGTAGTAATCAAAGTCATCGTCGTCGTCTAGCGTTCCCCCCCAGTCCTCTTCCTCGTACAGCTGGTCTTTTGGCAGCAGGCCCAGCATCTGGAATTCTTCCGGGAAACTCAGATCGGATCCCCCCAGGATTCCTCCATCGTTGCCGACGCCGGATCCCTTCCGCCTTTGCTGTTGTTGCAGCCTCTTTTGCTGGTGGTCGTAGAGGAGCATGTCGCCCCGGACCGCGTCCTCCTTGGCGGACACCAGCCGATCGAAATCGGCCTTTGCCAGGTCCCGGCGGTGGACGAGGGTTTCCCGGACCCCGTAGAGCTGGTCGAGCTTGAGCTTGCGCTGCTCCCCCACCCACCGGCTGTGGGTCTTGTGGAGGACCTCTCGTCGGAGGCAGTCCCTCAGTTCCAGAGCCATCGCGTGCTTCCACGAGAGCATCCGGCCCGTGTGTTCGAGGTGATCCGAAAGGTGGTACCAGAAGGAGGGGTCGGGCTTGTCGCTCTGGCTTTGCAATTGTCTTTGGGGTGTATCAGCAGTGCTTTCGTTGTTGTTGTCGTCGTCATCGTCATCGTCGTCATTGTTGTCGTCATCGTCATCGTCGTTTTCCTCATTGGTTGGGTAGTCCTGGCCCTCGTAGTCGTACTCTTCCAGTGCATAGGCAAGGTTCCGAACGACACTCCAGAGCCGGGCAGTGTCACTCCCGTCTCGGCCATCGGTGCTTCCATTGTTGTGGTTTTCGCGCGTGGCGATTCTGGAAGGGTACGGAATTTCGAGGTACGGCACACCGGGAGACAACTCGTGTTTGCCTTCGCGTTCGCCCGTTCCGTCCTCTTCGGTCTCCGGGCACATGCGGCCAAAGCGGGCCACGCGGGAGTCCAGCAGTTCCTTGATTTGGTCATCGAAATCGGGTGGGGGTTCCTCTTGTTGTTGTTGTTGTTGTTCGTCTTCTTCTGGATCGAATTGCTTCTCCTCGCTCGGGATCGGACCCTCCCCGCTGCCACTGTTTTTGTAGCGCATCCACATGGCCTCGATCAATTGGCTCTTTATCGAATCAATCTCCTCCCGATCGGAGGGCCGATATCCCACGAGGCGTTCCAGCTCGATGGAAACAACGGGGAGTTCCTCCTCCTCCTCCTCTTCTTCGTATTCCTCGCCATTGTCTCCGTCGCAGTTCCCATCGCTGCGGTCTCCCGGGACGGCAGGGAGCATCGATGCCACCACGGAAACGTGGTGCGGGGGTGCAGAAGCAACGCCGAAGCGCAGTCCCATCGACAACGACGACGAGGAATTCGCCTCCATAGCTTGCCAGACCGAAACCGACCGTTGCTTGGCTCTCGTGTCTTGGATCGACAACAATCAAATGGCAGTCGCAATAATGCCGTGCGTACGTCGGGTTGGGCTGGGTTGTGTTGTGTTGGTTGGGTTGGGTTGGGTTGTGTTGTGTTGTGTTGTGTTGTGTTGTGTTGTGTTGTGTTGTTGCCGAGAAAGAAAGATATGTAAAATTCTTGGTTCCTCTAAACCGGAAGGCAGGGACTACAGACAGAAAGGTGGTACCAGGTAGTACTGTATTGTACCGGTTAGTATTAGTACGAGTTACGTCGCCTACGGCTACACTACGGTACGGGTCTGTACGCATCTCGCCTGTGTTGCCCAAGTTTTTGTTTTGACCTCGACCGACTCCTTGGTTGGTGGTTGGTCGTCGGAAGTATCGGGTTGTGCTGTATTTAGTCGACTGAGTCGACTATTAGTACTGTAGATGTTTGGCGAGTCGAAACGCCAATACGTACTACGGTACGGTATCTTCTACGTAACGAAATTGGTAGGGGGTGACAACTTTTGTTTTTGGAGAAGATACCCGTTTCTAGTGATGGGAACCCCGATCGAAACCCCCCTTTTGTTCTTCAGATTGTTCTTCAGATACAACATACCGTTACACATCACATATTACACATTACATACCATAGTCCTCAGAGCATCCTGGAACGAAGTTGGCACTTTTTTTCACAACGGAACGTACCGTTGCATCACCAATCGAGAGTGCGCCACACCATTTTTGAAAATAGAATACGAAACTCAAGTCGTACATTCCGTCAAAGCTGCCATCATTGATATTGTGACATCCAGGTGCTGTACCAAGCTCCTTGCGAATAAATTCATCGGAAATCCGTACCGCGAGCGTTGCAATCCTTTTGCAAGACCCACTATGTTCTTCTCCAACTATTTCATCACAGGCGAGCTCCGCGAAGATTTCTGGAGTGACGTTAGCATGGCAGCGCAAGAGAATCCCGTCATCTTCGAACACGCCCCGAAGCGATTGAAGAAAATTCTCTTGAAAGTGCGGCCCCGGGATTTCAGTTCTATTTTTCAAGAACACGGGAGGTTTGGCTTCTTCTTTGACGAGTTGCGAGGCAGTCCGCGGTTCATGATAGATCTAATCAATCAAGTGGGCGCCTGCGGCCGCGCATTCGACTATGCAACGAAAGAACTAAAGAACAACRTAGAGGTAGCAATGGCCGCGGTAAAGCTAGATTACCACGGAAGAATCTTCGAAAGCCTTCCAAGAGAAATGAAGCACAACAAACAGWTAGTGATTGCTGGGGTAGCAACGAGCGGTTACGTATTGAAAGACGCGCCGCAAGAAATGAAGAGCAGCGAGGAGGTAGTCACTGCCGCGGTTAAATGGTCTGGCAATTCATTGCAATATGCATCCGAGGAACTAAGGAACAACACGAAGGTAGTCCTTGCCGCGGTAACGCGGAACGCGGATGCGTTGAAATATGCCTCCGAGGAACTGCGGAACAACAAACAGGTAGTGACCGCTGCTGTGACCGCCGCTGTGACCACCGATGGCTGCGCCCTGAAACACGCATCCATGGAACTGAGGGGAGATGCTGGTGTGTGTGTGGCTGCGTTGCGACAGGCGCGGGGGGCACTGGAACACTGCTCCCAAGATTTTTTTGTTGTCGCTGCACTGAAAGCCCTTGGCACCTCCAAATGAAGGCCGTGTCCGTGGCAATGGAAAGGGGAACGAAATCGGGCAGTGCTAAAAACCCTGTGCGCCTGTCCAAGATCCAAGATGCGAAGTCTCGAAGCCGAAAGACGTGTCGACATTGGTTTCATCGCAAGGAGCTCAAAAGGGCGAGTCGACCTGCTCGCCTCCGAAGTTGACCGATAGTGTCTGCGAATCAACAGAGTCGTCCTCCGAAACGCCTGCTATCGGTCGAAGTGATAKAATTACTTCCCGCCAAGCAACAGAAATGCTAACGTGACCGTAAGTTCGTGAAAGAGAAATACGTAAKGGTGGGCGGAAAATTACGCAATCGATAGAAAAGTAAGAGGCGAAGATCCACATCTACTCATAGAATTATTCATTTACAGGAAATTATAGAATTTTTTTTCTAGTTTCATTGGTGAGTTATCATCGTGTCATTATCTTCTTCTCAAGGTTCGTCATTCTGATTGAAACAAGAAACATCGACGATATTCAGCAGTGTCAAGGAACCACACTCGTTTTCGTTTTGGGATTGAAAAAAGCAGAGTTATGTGAAATATGTTTGATCGTCGCTGAACTCAGAGTCGGAAAGAAGGATGGAATAAATGGCACAAGTCAAAGCTACTCTTGCCAGCTCTGATCACATTGAGGAGAATTCCCGAACAGCAGCTACAAAGAATTTTTGGGAGCAATAATGTAGTACGTCCYCTGTCTGTCGTAACGCTGTTGCGCACACATTGTAATCTCCTCTCTTCTCATCTGATGYATATTTGAATGCCCTTCCATCCTGTGTCACTGCAGCTGTCACTACTTTCAGGTTGTTCTTCATCTCATCTGATGCAT